AAAAGCATTAAAAGCTTTAAAAGCTTTAAAGGTTTAAAAGCTTTAAAGGTTTAAAAGCTTTAAAGCTTTAAAAGCTTTAAAGCTTTAAAAGCTTTAAAGGTTTAAAAGCATTAAAAGCTTTAAAAGCATTAAAAGCATTAAAAGCATTAAAAGCATTAAAGGTTTAAAAGCTTTAAAAGCATTAAAAGCTTTAAAGCTTTGCTTTAAAAAGCCTACTTTTCATTAATAAACATTGAATTAATCTTTCTACAAATCTTCAAAAGCCAATTTAAGAATTTGTAACAATTCCCCTAATCTTTGATCTTAAATCGGATCGGAAATGAAAATGGAAAAGATTCTCGAGAAAGATCCCTCAAAAGATCTTTTCATTTCCCCTTTTTCAACTCACTTTTCCCCGACTTTCTTCAGAAATTCTCGGAAAATTTGCAAAAAAAAAACAAAAATGAATTAATTTCACCAAAATTCACAGCTTTCTCTATTTTCTATAACTTTTTATAGCTTTCTATACCTTTCTATAGCTTTCTATAGTTTTTTCTAGCTTTCTATAGCTAAATATAGCTTTCTATGACTTTCTATCGCTTCTTTACTAATGATAGAAATAGCTTCATTTTCTTTTCAAAAGTGTCGCTTTTGAAAAGACAATCATACTTTTTCAAAAATTACTTCAACAATGTCAACTACAGACTTCTCTTTTCCCTTCATTCTCCTCCATTCTCCTTGAAAAAAAAAAAACGAGTTCCCCTTTTCCTTAATGTGATTAGTTCATTTGATGGAAATTTGACTCAAAACCAAAGCAGAGACTTTCATCATTAATATATTCTCACTTTAGCTGCTTTTTAAGTAACATAGAATCCAGCAAAAGTAGCATAGAATCCATCCAGCATTTGTAGCAAAAATACAGCCAAATTTGCGCATAGTGACGCCCAAGTCGGCTCAGTTGCTAGGCGCTCCTTCTGCTTTACGGATTTCAAAAGGAAACGCTTATCTATTGGGAAAGTGTGCCAGATGGAGAGCGATTACAAATAATGCCTAATAAACGTTGATTGGACTAAAGAATCCTGAGAAAATTGAGAAATTGAGAAAATCAAGTCACGTACTGTTCTCTGCTGTTGAGAAGCAATGGTTTAACAGGAAAGCTTTTCCAACAAGAACAAGCTTCATTTCAATGCGGTTATTCTGGCCGTCAAGTCGCAGCATCCATCCTCTCATTTGATCAATTTGACTACATTCTTCATGGCTGGACGGGCGGGAGTACTTCTCTTGTCAGTCGCTGAAAAAGCTTCGCCGCTCGAGGAGAGCCCCTTAAGCCAGGCCGCTTTGCCAGACAGCGAGCGATTGTGCGGACGCACAAAGAACATCTCATTTACTCTCTTTTTCTTTGTGAATGGCATCAAAAAAAATAAATTCAACTGTAAATTTGTAGCCAAGGGTTTTCCGGATTGGCGAATCGATTGGAGCTCGATTGGAGCTCGATTTGAGCTCGATTGGAGATCACTTTATTGAGTCTACCAATTAAAACTCGAGTTTAATTGGTCTAAACTTTTGGAAACGTATTAGCCTTTAAAAATTGCCTTTAAACAAATCTCTCCCTTCTCGAAACTTTTCTTGATCACGAAAACTCAAAAACCTTGACTTTTAACGAAAAAAGACCTGCAAAACCTATTGTTTTTCACTAATTCGATCAAAAAAAAGTGTAATGGCAAAAGGTTCGTTCGCTTTTTCGTTTTTTTTTTCTTCATTTTCTTCATTTTCTTTCTTCGAAAGACTATTGAGTCAAAACAAACGTTCTGATTCATCCAAAAGTCTTATCATTTTTGACTCAAAAGCCAAATTTGTATCATGCTTGAAAAATTAGAAAATTTTACTCAATCTTTAGCAAAAAAATTTCTTTCAACTCGTATTCAGAAGCTTCAAATTCACGAAAGCTTTCTTTTTTTTAAGACTTGGACTTAGTGCGAAGGCTAGCGGCTAGCGCCTCGCACTAAATCTATTTGGGTTTGGGCTATACCCCCATTTTCCGGATCTCGGCCAGTTCTCGGAGCTAAGGCATTAGGCTTGGGCTTAGGCTTAGGCTTAGGCTTGGATTTAGTGCGAAGGCTAGCGGCTAGCGCCTCGCACTAAGTCTATTTGGGTTTGGGCTATACCCCCATTTTCCGGATCTCGGCCAGTTCTCGGAGCTAAGGCATTAGGCTCAGGCTTAGACTTAGACTTAGGCTTGGACTTAGGCTTAGGCTTAGGCTTGGACTTAGTGCGAAGGCTAGCGGCTAGCGCCTCGCACTAAGTCTATTTGGGTTTGGGTTTCTGTGCTTTTATTGGATCAAAACGATTGAATCAAGCTTTATTTGGTGTCATTTGAAAGCTAGAAATGTCCTCTATACAATGATACAAAAAGTTAACAAAAATATAATCTCTGGACAAAGTTATAGGCCTTCAAAGCCGACGACCCGTTCAAAATACCCAGATTTTTCCGAAATACCCGTATTCTTTCATCAAAAAAACCGTATTCTTTCAAAAAACCCGGAAACTATACAAGAGCCTTCTTTTCTTTTGTGTTGTTTTAAAATAGCTTGAATTGGCTGTATTTTCTAACGAAAAACCCGGGCATAGCTATTACCAGAAACAAATTTTCCAGAAAATGATTATTTTTGACTCTTCAACTTAAAAGTCACCCAATTCCCTAATAATCAATCGAATTCAAAATCTTTTTGGATTATTTTGTAGAGGAGATTCAGCGCTTTCGGACAGTATATAACACTTTTTAGCTGAGACTTGCAAACTTTTTATTTTTAGAAAGATATGTGAGCGTTTTTTTCATTTCCATCACCCTAATATCATTTTCTCAAGCAGGATTTAATATTATTTTTTAGACAATTACGGAAATCATGGGATAAATATTAAGTAATGTATATCCTTGATATACTGGAAAAATTTGAAGCTATTGTTTTGAAGCGAAAAGATCAGCGGAAGCGATAGTTCCCAGCAGGCGCAGGTGCCCAGGTTGAGGCTCGATCTGCGGTTACTTTTTAACAACCAAGTCCCCAATAATCAATCGAATTCAAAATCTTTTTTGGATTATTTTATAGAGGAGATCCAGAGCTTTCGAACAGTATACAACACTTATTGGATGAGGCTTGAAATCTTTTTATTTTTAGAAAGATATCTGAGAGTTTATTTCATTTCCATCACCCTAATATCATTTTCTTCAGCTAGTTTAAGAGTTTTTGTGTGTTTTTTTTTTGGATAAACGATTGAAATTGATAAATTTTGACATATAAAACAGGGAAAAAAGATTTGCAAAAAGATTGACAAAAGAAAATCGAGTCAGATAAAGAAAGGGACAAGAAAAAAGAGATCAAAAAGAAGTCAGGTGGCACAGATCTTCTGATCTTCTTTTGAGATTTCCCCTAAAGCTTTGTCTTTAGCTTTTTGTAGTGTTTGAGTGGAGCAATTATTTCATTTTTATGTCTAAATCTTTAGCTAATATTTCTATTATGAAATCCTCACAAATCTCAATCCAAATTCGCGTAATTAAATCGCTAAAGGAAAGCTTGAAAGAAAGCTCGAAGTGTACTTTGTGCTCTTGTATTTCTCTTCATTTTTCTAGTGAACCAAAGTTGTTGAGGGGGAAGAAAAATGAGGAATTCAGTGCACCAGAAAGGTCGCGTTTACTCGTTTACTCGTAAAACTCTTCACTCGGTGTACTTTGTGCATTGTATTGTACATTGTAAACATTGTAAACATATGCTTTCTAGTGCATTGAAACTTTCGATCTTTTCGTGGTGATCGTTTTCGGAGTCGATTCTAGCTCTGGAATGGGATTTTCAATTGTGATTCTTGGTATCGTGCTCCTTCTACGATAACACATCCGAAAGCTAACAATTTGAATGCTTATGTTTAGTAAACAGTGATCTCCCAGGAATGGGATCTAAAGCAATCCCAATTTTCAGCTATTTTTGACAATTTTCCGCCTAAAACACTCATTTTCCTTTCTTTTTTTGCCTTTTTTTCCTTTTTCCTTTTTCCTTACACATTTCCCTCTCAATTTCTCATCTTCTCCGTTCTCTTCTCACCACAAAAAAAAACCCCTTGAGACAAAATGATTTGCTGTTGATGGGTGAATGCTTAAAAACTCACTATAGTCACTTACCCACGATATTTGTGGTTTTGAAAAGGTTTTTAAGGATAAATACTTGCTATAGTTGAAAAGTGGCTGAAGGATTTTGATATGTACAAATGTACTGTTCAAATTAGTGTTCGAAAATCACTTTTCCGAAAATACCAGTTCTCAAAGCAGGCTACTCAAGGCTCTTGGCTTTCCCTGGCTTGGTTTAAAACCGAAGAAAACGATTCCCGACGAATAGCGCCAATCGATTCCTGAATATACAATTATTGATAAACTTTAGTTTTCTCTTTTCCTTTGCCCCAAGTTTTCTATTTCATCTTTTAGAAAACTGTTTATGCAATCTGAAAAGCTTGCGCTTAGTTTATTTTGAAGAATCGAGAATTTGCAAAATCAAAGGCTTCGAGCGGGTTCGAACCCCGGACCTCCCGACCGAGAGACCGAAGCTCTACCACTGCACCATTTGAGCCACCGGGTGGCCACCTTTTTGATGCCCTCTATCCTCCCTCTAGAGGTTTTCTTTGAAGCCCAGCTGGCAAATTTTTGCCGCTTTTTTAGACCAAATTGCCTAAATTTTTAGGATCAATTTAGCCTTTAATTGCCTTTAATTTAGCTATATTTTGCTACAAATTCATGATTCTGTAAAAAGCATTGTGTGATTTACAGTATAAGCCTTGATTCTGTTTGATTTGGTTCTGTTTGGCCCATCCAAACCCATCCAATCCAGGCTCTGAATCATTCAAACAAAATCCAAAACAATCGCTTTGAAAACATTACTTTTTTTTACATCTGTTTTCCATTTTCGATTTCATTTTTAAGAAAGCCTTTTGATTTTTTTCTGATTTCTTTCAATTTCCAGACTCCAAATGCTGTTAATACGATGATCGCTTCGAAAAAAGCATTTCTCTGTACATTTCTCTGGATTTTCCTTGAAATTGGCCAAGCGAAAGTCTATGATTTAACAAATGGTATTGATTTTAAAAGTACAGTAATTTCTGTCAACACAAAAGAATTCAGTCACGCCAAATTTGATCTTCAACAACGAGTCGATCGTGAAACTTTACGATTACGGGAGCCATGTGTTGATTGGTGGAAGGTGAATGACAAAAAACGTTGAACAACTTTAAAATATATAATATTTATTTAAATATATTCCAATATCAAAGAAAATATCTAAGAAAATATCCAATATTTTACAATATTTCTTGGAATCATCTGCAAAACATTTCAGAAACGCGATCTACAACGTTTCTTTAAACGAGCGCGAATTGGGGTACAGTACTCACAAATGGAATGCCTCGTTGACGGCGGTGGCCGAATGCGGGAAAATTTTCGATGCACAGGTTTGGCTTAGGCTTGGGCTTAGGTTTAGGCTTTGGCTTTGGCGCAGGCTTAGGCTTTGTCTTCAGCTTTGGCTTTGGCTTTGGCTTTGGCTTTGGCTTTGGCTTAGGTTTAGGCTTAGGTTCAGGCTTAGGGCTAGGCTTGGCTTTGTCTTTGGCTTTGGCTTTGGCCTGCGCTCAGGTTCAGGCTCAGGATCAGTCTTAGATTCAGGCATAAACTTGTTGGAATCATCTTTCTCTGAAACTTCAAACTTAAACTTTAAACTTGTGCGAACTCGATCCGTCAAAAAGAGTGATTTAGACACTGTGCAGTGTGTGAGAGAGTATCGCTGGGGGCAATGATTATTAGATATTTATTCCGAATCTAGCACAATACTAATCTAGCGAGAAAATATAATAAAATAGAATCTATAGTTGGTTCAGTGTTTCAAGCAATAATATAATAATAATAATGATTTGATCTGTCTTCGCACTTAGCGCAGATCACAACCTGCTTCCACATTTACTGAGGCAGAAGTGTAGTTGTCGTAGCCGATGATACTCCGATGGCCGGGCTGGGGCGCTCGGAGGGGAACGGGAGTCGGGAGACCCATGGGAGTCGAACCCACGACTAACCCGCGCCGACGTTGCTCAACTTGGCAGATCGGACGGGGTCGACCACAGACCCTTCCCTTTCTGGGCCCCGTTTCAAGCAATACGAAAAAACAATACGAACAGACCATACAAAGTAGGCTCCGTCCCTTTTATCGTAAAAACGATCTTTTAGAGGCGCAACAAGAGAATCAGATATTCAAATCAAAACATTAAATAAGATTCTACAGAAAAGAGAAGCTACTTTTCTGCACAGACACTTTTGTTTAAAGAAACCAATTTCGGTGTCAATGGAAAAAAAAGAAAAAGCGCAAAGCGTTAGGTTTATACTTAAATTTTTAGAACAAACTGTTCAACAAATTCTTTTATATCACCTTTTATCGAATTTTGCTCAAAATAAGTTTTCGGGCTTGGTTATGCTTGGAAACGAGCCCAAATTGGCGAACCTGATTGGCATAAAAAGATAGAAAAGTGTTTAATAAACACTTATTTATAGTAAAATCGTAGGTCAATTGAAAAGCTTTTAATTTATAAACATTTATAAAGTATTTAAAGACATCGCTCAACCAAATCTAGGACCCTAGAAAGTCGAAATTTCTGCAAAACCAGAGCCAGCACCAGAGCTATCACCTTCAGTTTGGTTCTTTCCTTTGTTAGGCTTTTGTTAGGGCCTCAATTCAGCCTCAATTCAAATCGTATATTCAATTTATTGTTAAAATTGAACATTCTACAATAAAGCTTCCAAAATCGATTCTTTTTAGGCGGCTTGTCACAACGATATCCGCGTCTATTACCCGTATCGAAGTGGTTTTGTTCTCTGCGGCACCTATGCGCTTAGTCCAATGTGTGCACAGTTTGAAGGTAAAAAAGCAATGACATTTCATAGCATTTATTTAAAATCAGATCGTTTAAAATCCATTTTCAGATGGAAAGCTGATAAAGCAATTTTCTGGACTTGGCCAAACACCTCCACAAAGCGAGCACCGATCGAAATTCCTTGCCACTGGATCTCATGTTTTTACAGCAACAGGTTAGCAACAGATGGACAGCACCAGATAGACAGTGTTTACAAAATTGAGCAAAATAGAGTTTGTGTTTGATTAAAAAGTACCAGTTTTCAATGAATTCCTCATTTTTTTTTTAGTTGCCGATTTCTCGGCCACTGATCCATTATTGTTGAGAAGGGATTTGGATGGATCGAGCAGCTCACAGCTGAGATCCCCACGACAAGGAGCCTTCGAAGAACCGGAATTCATCGAAATACACTCGAATTATCAGGTAAATAGGAAATATTTCTTCTCTTTCTTCCTTTCTCTTCCTCTTTCTTCCTTTTTCTTCCTTTCTCTTCCTCCTTGTATTCCCTCTTCTCTGGCAAAAAAAGATCAAATAGCTCAGTGGTTAGAGCAATTGCAGAAGCAGAAAAGGAAAAGATCTAGCGAAAGATCGAGAGGAAAGCTCAATCCCCTCTGAAATTCTTTCTTTAGTCAATTTCCTAAAATTTTACTTGCTAATTAACTATAGACAAAAATATTAAAATAATTGATCTTGAGAGTTAAGAAACAGTGAAGAAACAGTTAAGAAACCGATGTTAAATTAGGATTACAGAAGAATTTGATAGCATTTATCCGTCTGTTTTCTAAACCTTATCTAGGATGTGCTCGTTTGGTTTACCGAGGCGCCGACAGACACTGAAAAGTGCGGAATGAGGAAAGAGACACGGGTGGCCAGGGTAGGCTTGAACAATTGAATTCATAAAGTTCATAGAATTCATAGAAATCATAGAATTCATAGAAGTCAAAGAATTCATAGAATTCATAGAAGACACAGAATTCATAGAATTCATAGAATTCATAGAAGTCATAGAAATCATTTGTCAATCACAATATTGCATGTGAATCTATGAATATTGTATTTTCAACTCAACAAAATCCACTTTCAGGTTTGCGCGCGTGACCCGGGCGCAGCTCGTCCGCACGAGACCGAATTCAGCTCTTTCTCGAAGGCGAGAGTCGAGTGTGCGATCAGTGAACAACAACAGGATACTTTATACTTCAATCAGGTAATTCCATCACTTCAATCACTTCAATCACTTCAATCACTGTTTAAATACCATTTTCTAAACTCTAACTAAGCTTTTTCAATTATTTTAACTCGATTCTAGCTGCTAGAGAGCTTTCGACTGTTCAGAGTTTAAGATAAAATCTTTTTTTCTTAAAAAAAGATATCGGATTGGGATAACTTTGAAAGAAACTTCTTTTAGAAACATTTTCTTCATTTTCAATAGTCATTTTCTTCATTTTCTTCATTTTGAATGTTCATTTTGTTCTAAATCTTCATTTTAAAGCTACGCAACTTTTCTAGAATAGTTTAAAAGTGAACAGAAAAAATAGGTTTCGATAGGAAAACAATTTTATTCAAAAAAAAGTAATTTTTTAAAAATTTTAAATAAATCTATCTTAACATGGAGGGAGACCTAAGACCAGAAGTCGCCAGAAGAAGAAGAGCGGCCTGGACAGCACTAGGAAGCATCAAAGAAGTCACAAAGATACTCAAGAATCACCAGAGGAGCACACCTCTTCGACAGCACCGTCCTCTTGGCACTCTGCTACGGGACAGAGACCTGGGCCACGACACAGACCACCGAACGAGCCTTGAGAATGACGCATCAAACCACATCATTGAAAGGAGCCTCCTCGGGCACAGAAAGACGCAGCTCGATCAAGACCTAAGACCGACCAAGACCTACGGATATACGCCAGCTCTCGGGACTCAGAGATCTAGTGGAAGTGATCGAGAGAAAAAGACTCAGATGGGCCGCCCACGTAGCCAGAAGAACAGACGACAGATGGACGATGGACGATCACAGAGTGGCTACCGCGAGACCAGAAGAGGCCCATCGGAAGACCAGCAACGAGGTGGAGCACAAGAGTGGCAGAGACGGTCAGACAAAGGATGGCTAGAGTGCAACCACAACCAGCACAAGCAAGTCGAAGACTTCGAACCAGGAACAACCAAAATAGGAAACACTGGATGACAATAGCAAGCGATAGTGAGTGGAAGCAGCTTGTGATCTGCGCAAATAGGAACACCTAAGTGCGAAGACAGATCAAAAAATCTATCTTACAGCTCAAAGCCATCAAACGAATGGGCTCGACGCGTTTAATCGGCGTCTTTCAATCACAACTTGCCGGCCTTGGCGCATCAGCTCTTTGCGAGTTCGACACCGCCGACATCTCGAGAACTCTTCAAAGAAAATTTGAGGTCATTTTTTGTGATAAACAATGTATAATTACGTAATATCTAATACTAATAATTAGTATAATATATCTTTGAGTTATCAATAAATTACTTGCTATCAAGGGCTACTTTCTAGGGCTATCAAAGTTCTTCTTGTCCGCGCGCTACTTCACAGGACGCCCAGCTGGCAACGAGAAGCAATCCAATGGTTGAAAAAAGTAATAATTGAAAGAATTTAAAGATATTCAGCTAATTTCTAGAAATCTCTTCAAAGCCTTTCTATTATGCTTTTGATGGGAAAGATCGTTTCACCGCATTGACGATTGAAGAGAATTTCGAGGACATTGATGGAAGGGTGAGTTTGGATAGAGATAGAGCAGTTATTCTTTTAATGTTCATCACTTCAATTCTAAATTTCCTTCATTTTCACTCTCCCGAATCTAATATCCTAGTTATTATAAGCAAGAGAGTCTGTCGATCTGTATATTTGGATGTCTGTCTGTCTATCTATCTATCTATCTATTTATCTATCTATCTATCTATCTGTCTATCTGTCTGTCTGTTCCGCTGTTTCAGAAAAAAACCGCCGAACCAATCGGTCTGAAAATTGGACTCTTATACAGTGCGTTTCAAATTCTTAAACGCACCCTCTAAAATAGCGAATTTTGCATTTTGACCACCTCTACAACTATTAATCTTTTTTCTATTAGAAAGAGCATGTCTTAAAACCTAAATAACACGAAAAATAAGCATACTGTAAAAAACAAAAATTTTCAAAATAGAAACTTTTTGCTAAATCAACCGTTTCAAATTCTTAAACGCACCCGCCCTTGCTGTTGTTATTTTAAATTTTTCGTTTTGTTGTGCATATTTTTTTATTAAATTTATAATTTTTGTTAATTTCCAGATAAATGGCACACGGAAAGCTGCTCACGGATTATGAGAAAGGCCAGATTGATGCCCGTTTGAGGATTGGCGACTCAATAAGGAAAATCGCAAAAAATTTGGGCCGATCCGACTCTGCCGTGCGAAATTATATAAAGTCCGAGTTCGTTTCTGCACCAAAGAAGCCAGAACCAAAACCAAAGCTTACACCGTGAGCTAGACGCCATATTGTGAACAACATCCACGGAAAAACGATCAATGAAGTGAAAACGGAACTGAAAATCGACGCTTCGAAGTCGACAATTTGGCGAGCCGTCACGGAAAATTCACATATCGATCGACACTTGTTGAACAAGCAACCGGCTGTGACGCTTTTGCACAAGGAAGCCCGATTGGCGTTCGCCAAGGCTCATATGAATCAGGATTGGTCTATGGTTAGAAAGCCGATTATGTTTTATTATTTTTTTTGCGTTTAGGTGATCTTTTCCGATGAGAAGAAATGGAATTTGGATAGCCCCGATGGCGTTGGCTACTATTGGAGGGATCTTCGACGTGATCCGATGGTGTTTGAGACTCGAAACTTTGGTTCTGTGATGGTTTGGGCCGCATTTTGTGCTGATGGAACGGTCGCTCTGAAGATGGTTTCGAATCGGATGACTAGATAGATCTCTTGCTTGTCGCCGTTTTCGCTCCTAAATCAAACCGTTCCCGATTTGTTTCAATACGACAACGCGTCAGTTCATCGAGCCGGAGATACCCGAGACTGGCTGAAAAACAACAACATTGCAACTTTGGACTGGCTCGCACAATCTCCTGACCTCAATCCGATAAAAAATTTATGGGGAATACTTGTTCGAGCTGTCTACAAGGATCATCGTCAGTTTCAAGACGTTTTTACACTTAAAGCAGCAATTTTTTCGGCCTGGAGCGATCTCGACGTCTCTGCTCTTCAAAACCTCATCAATTCAATGCCAGACCGGATTTTTCAAGTAATTAATCGTTTTGATGCGTGTACAGATTATTAGTTTTGATTTTTTACCTTTGATTTTTAATTTGTGTCGATAAATAAAAATATTTTCATAGTGCGTTTAAGAATTTGAAACGGTTGATTTAGCAAAAAGTTTCTATTTTGAAAATTTTTGTTTTTTACAGTATGCTTATTTTTCGTGTCATTTAGGTTTTAAGACATGCTCTTTCTAATAGAAAAAAGATTAATAGTTGTAGAGGTGGTCAAAATGCAAAATTCGCTATTTTAGAGGGTGCGTTTAAGAATTTGAAACGCACTGTATTCAAAATTTCATGTAGTTTCCAAAGATCTAATTAGTTTTGTGGGTTAGACGAGCGATTTTTTATAAAAACGCGCTTTCTCGATTTTCCCTTATGAGCGTGGCCGAGTGGTCTAACTAGTAAGGCGTATGTGTCAATCTAGATCCAAAGAGGGGGTTCTTGGTTTGACCGCTCTGCAATGCTGGAGTCTTTTTTGAATGTTTTGAACAACAGAAATTGTAGTTCATACTTCAAACGAAGATTTCGATTAGAAAAATAGATTAAGACCCCCTCTTTGGCTCTAGATTGACACATACGCCTTAGACCACTCGGCCACGCTCATAAGGGGAAATCGAGAAAGCGCGTTAAGCAGCAATCGATTTGTAATTTTTAAACAAGTTTTATTTTGTTTGTTTGGTTTATTTTGTTTAATAATTTCTCAATTGAAAATCTATTTGGTTTAACTTCAAATGATTTCATTATGAAAAAGGAAAAATTTCTCTTTTTTTTATTTAGAAACTGTTTTGTCTGTTTGTTGTTTTGTTTTGATCATGCTTTGAAGGCTTTGTTACGATAGACAGGGATTTAGATGCTATTTGATGAAAAATTTGCATATTTGCATCAATTTGCAAATAAATCCATAACTAGATTCAGAGTCTGATTGGTAAAAATTGAAATCTCGACTTTCAAAAGAGATTTGGTTCCTTTTCTCTATAGATTTGGTTTCTGTTCGGTACAGATTTGGTTCCTTTTCTCTACAGATTTGGTTTCTGTTCGGTACAGATTTGGTTCCTCTTTGGTACAGATTTGGTTCCTTTTCTCTATTTTTAGATTTCAAAACCTCAAGATCATTTCAGAAAATGGATTTGATCTGGGTGGGCACCGATCGGGGAAATGTGCTGAAATTGATCCGCTCACCGAATAAGACTATTCATGTATCAACGATGAAAATCGCGGTTTAATTTCTTTCAAAAAACGCTTAACAAAGTTCTTTTCTAGAAAGAGGCAATTCAAGAGTTGACATTGGTGAAGAAGAAACTTCTCGTACAGAATGGACAAAAGAACGTTCAGTGGAATCTGATCGCCGTCACAGGTTTCCAAAAAAAAACACTTTTCCCATTCTAAAATCCGCTCCAAGTACCGTAGCCCAATTTAAAGCCAAAAACAAAAACTTTTTCCAGGCTCCGGCGTTTATCGAGCGCCAGCCTCTGCGTGTACACAAGTGGATGGTTGCCTGGAGTGCACACAAATGGGCGATCCGATGTGTGCCTGGATTACGGACAAGTGTTACCCAATCAATGAGCATTTGCAGTAAGCTTTAGTCTTTGAAACTCTATTACAGAAATACTGTAATAGAAAATGTAAATCTCGTGATTTCAGTCGTCGACCTTACATGGTTCGAGAGCCGATGAAATGCGTGGAAACAGCTCAAAGCGTCAACTCAGCCACACAGCCATCAACAACGAGGCGAAGAGCGATGCCGAAAGGTTTGCCTCAGTAATTTAGGCATTAGTGTAAAGAGACAGTCCAGAATTACAAGACTCGGATCTAGCTCTTAATCCTTTAAAGCAATATCACCAACTCTGATACCCTCGGAAGCAAAAATGACATCGATATTGAGTGCTCTACGCTACTACGCTACTACTAATTGTCCCTAAGACCCCCTTCATCCTAAGGAAACCTAAATTTGCATACTTTGATTCCCTGTTTGAAAAAATTGAAAGGAAAACAGTTTGAAACGGACGGGAATCAAACCCGACACCCCCTTAGGGAAATCGTTTTGTAGACGGAACGCTAACCACGGCCCCCAAGCGCCGCCGAGGGCAAAAGGGACATCCTTAGGTGGTTTTTCTGATTTTTTAATCAGTTTTTAATGAAAAACTTGTTGAAAACAGCAAAACTGCCTACTTATTTTTAATTCCCTATCGATTAAAAAAAAGTTTGTCGAAATCGGTTCACGGAGAGCCGAGATCCAGCGTATGACGGACGGACGAAAGGATAAACGGACATACAGACAGACGGACGGACAGACGGACAGACGTACAGACAGACAGACAGACCGACATACAGACGGACGGACAGACAGACGGACAGACAGACAGACATACAGACACTTCTCTTGTATATATAGTAGATACCAGTCTTTAAGATTTGATACAGATTAATAGGATTTTGAAATAGTGGATCGATCAGCTACGTAGAAATCTCTCTAGAACTGATTGCCTTTCGTTCACCGGAATGCCTATGTGAGCGACGCGAGGAAACGACTCCATGCGGAATTGCTGAAGTCATTCAGAATGAAGTTCCGTCAAGGAGTGGCTACTGTAAGTGAAAAGGCTAAATCAAAAAAGCTTTTTCCAACTAGCTCTTCAGTAGACTCTTTTACAGTACCCTGTCTTCTCTTCACAACTTTCGGTTGTTTCTTGGGCGCTTGTGCCACGTATATGTGCACTTGGTGGTGTCGATCACCGAAAGAAAAGGTGTGGTTGGTTACTGTAGCTGTTGATTTTATATCAGACGCTAAATTTCCACTATTTACCAGTATCTAGATCTAGTTTTTCCAAAAGCTTTCACTTTTTTTACAGGGAAGTTTCTACAGGAAATATAATAGCTTGAAATTCGTCAGTTATTGCTAAAATATTTACTGCAGCCCTATGTATGATATGCAAAAGCTTACTCATAACTGACTTTTACTTGTAAAAGTTGTTCCTGTGAAGTTAATCTTAAGTTAAAGTTAAAGTTAAGCTGGCGGGATTGAACCCTTGACCTTCTGACTAAGATACAGGGCTCTTAGCCAGTCGGCCATAGGTGTGGAGGTTTATATAAAGTATAAATGTGCCCCTATTCCAGCCATCACCATCTCCCATAATCGACGCGTTTACCCAGTCGACCTCTCCATCGATGCAAAGCGATATGAGCACACGAACCGGTTATTCAAGTCATGGACCGTTGATTCAAACGTCCAGCAAGCAAACATATTGTTGATTTATGGATAAGTGTATATTACATTTTTATAAGTTTTTATAAGTTATAAGTTATATGTTAAAGAAGTTAAATCCCAGATATTTCATAGATTTTTAAAAGGCAACGCCGTCAAATTCTTCAGTTTAATTCCCTTTAATTCCCCCGATTCTCTTTATCTTTGTAACCAAACCTCGGGTATTCCGATGAAATTTCTGTTTTGTTGAAATCTAATATTGAACAGCCCATTCCCCGATTTTTTGCTGACGAACATTTCACAATTATATAATAGTAAGATTCCATTCCCGATGACTTTTTCTAACTTTTTACGTTTTCGCTTTGGTCTCAAAGACGGGTCTTTTTCTCTGTACTATATTAATAAAGTCATGACAGCGTACAGTAAAAAATTCTTGACAAATGTTGCTAAAAACATTCAACTACACAAGGCAAAAAACGCCTATATTGCAAAAACTTTATTTGCGAAATTGCGAAAATGTCCATCATTTTTCGTTGATAGCAAAACTGCCAACAGAAACGGGCTGGAATGTGGAGAGATGTGGTGGTTATGTGGAAATGAGGTGCGATGATGAGAAGAAGAACCATCTACACTCGGTAGTCGCCCATCTTCTGGACACAGATAGGACATGGCCAATTTCTCTAAAATAAACAATTTGGAAAAGTGTGAACAGTGCAACAGTGTGAACAGCTTTTAAGGTTACAAAAAGCTGACCAACTCTCACCTAAACATAAAATATATATCAACATAATCAACTCTACCTTAAGCGCCCTCTTCACGATATTGTGCTTTGAGTTAGTCACAACAGTTGCATTTGCCACGTGTGTCATGTTACCACGCTTTTCACGCGTCAATGGTCGCTTAAAATTCATCAGATCAATCTAAGCATTTGCTTTAGTACAATAAATAGTCAAAAACCATACCTGTTCTCCTAAAAGTTGCCTCAAAGATCGTTTCATACGATGCTCAAAATCGTTTCGCTTGGCGAATTCCGTCTCAAGCACCTAAAGCATAAAGATTTACTGCTTTTTTTGTTTAAATTCAAACGTTAATGGCCCGCTTGGCAATGTTGTTTGTCTCATTGATATCTTGTTCCTCCAAAAGCTCACCAGTTTTCTCCAGCAACATCTAAAGAAGAGAAAATTACGGAAAACAATTAGCAAACTTTTGAGAATGCCTCGGAAAGCAAAAAATCCTCGACGCCACGCTTCTTTTTTTCCGTTACTTCTGGCTCGTCGTTTACACGGAATTTCTGGATAGCGGTGAGGTTTGTCTAAAAAAAATCAATTCAACTTTAAACACATTAACCAACATCCGTCTTGAGTCCAGAGTATTGTTTGACGAGCATTTCGAACGTTTCGTCGAGCGATTTTTCGATTTGTGCTACGCGCTCCTTGTGCATGCTGCTGTTCTAAACAAAAAAGAATAAAAATGTCCAGTTATGAAGCAAGTTTAACAAAAAAGAACCATTAAAATAACTCACCGTCTTCATGTTCTTCGTGAAATACTTGATGAATTTCTGGAATGTGGGCATCTTGAGGTTTCTCTCGATAACCAATGGCTTCAAGGCAAGAGCTAAAGGAGAAAGAGTTGAAGAAAATGACAGGACAAAAAAAAATGATCACCATAGTATTGATTGATGATTGAACGCTCGGGGAAGAGATGCTTGGTGTTGAGCAATTTCACTTGGAGATCTCGATCCTCTTGCGAGTTTACCACATCCGGCTTGTCATTATCTCCGGGCGGGTCATGATTATGACCATGACCGACGGCGAGTCCAACAAAGAGCAATGCCAACAACAATTTGACGGCTTTCATCTAAACAAAACCAATTACATAATGTAAACAACATTGAATGAAGCAAGTCTTAGGTCTAATGGCTCAATTTCTACTTGTACTAAGCTTTTTAACAAAGTAGAATAGTCTAATGGCTCAATTTTTACGTAACCTATACATTCTAGCTGACTAAAGCAATAAACTGACTCAATTCTATAAAATACACATTACCTACATACAAAATTTACCTTTTAAACGCTTACCGCTTACAAACAATTAAAATGCTAACCTTTCCAAATTTAGTAAGAAAATGCTCAAATTCGGTACTTGTACTAAGCTTTTTAACAAAGTAGAATTGTCTAGTGGCTCAATTTCTACTTGTCCTAAGCTTTCGAACAAAGTCGAATAGTCTAGTGACTCAATTTCTACTTAACCTATACATTCTAGCTGACTAAAACAATAAACAGACTCAATTCTATAAAATACACATTAATTACATACAAAATTTACCTTTTAAACGCTTAAAAACAATTAAAATGCTAACCTTTCCAAATTTACGTAAGAAAATGCCCAAATTCGCCTCAAATAACTAACGGCAACACTTTAAACATCAAGAAAATAATTATTACAGGCTATAATACTTATTTTAATTTGTACTTGTAATTTACAGTCAACCGGGAAAATAAGAAAGAAAAAGTTCAAAAAAACCAACCTGTTCGAGATGACGAAATTGAGAATGATAATTTTAGCGAGAAACGATTCATTTTATTTGAGTTTTAAGTGCAAATTTGGCTGAGAAAAATGTAAATCCTTTAGTCTAATTTTTCTGCATTTTCCTTTACATTAAAGCTTACGCAAAATCTAAAAGATTTTATTACTATGTACAAAGTTTTTGGATATTCACAGGTTTTTGGATATTCACAGGTGTGAGGCTGGCATATCGAAATTCCCGGTGCCGCCGATGAATCTAAGAAACTAGGAATGATCAATGACCCGATTTTTTAATCTGCAATGAACTTCAAGTATTGAAGATTACTATAGTACAATTGTGTGTACTTTGTGCTCCAGATTCGGTTCCCATTTAGGGCCGATTTGTCTCCCAATCGATTCCGATTCGGTTTCGATTTGATTCCGATTAGGTTCCGATTAGGTTCCCATTCGATTTCGATTCGGTTCCGATTAGGTTCCGATTAGGTTCCGATTCGATTCCGATTAGGTTCCGATTCGGTTCTAATTCGGTTCTAATTCGGTTCCGTTTCGATTCCGATTAAGTTCCGATTTCCCATACCGTCCCAGTAGGCTCCGATTCGATTCCGATTAGGTTCCGATTCGGTTCCGATTAGGTTCCGATTAGGTTCCGATTAGGTTCCGATTCGGTTCTAATTCGGTTCTAATTCGGTTCCGATTAGGTTCTAATTCGGTTCTAATTCGGTTCCGTTTCGATTCCGATTAGGTTCCGATTTCCCATACCGTCCCAGTAGGCTCCGATTCGATTCCGATTAGGTTCCTATTCGGTTTCGATTCGGTTTCGATTCGGTTCCGATTCGATTCTGATTAGGTTCCTATTCGATTCCGATTCAGTTCCCATTCAATTCCGATTCGGTTCCGATTTCCCATACCGTCCCAGTAGGCTCCGATTAGGTTCCGTTTAGGTTCCGTTTGGGTTCCGATTCGGTTTCGATTCGGTTCCCATGCAAACGCACCCTTTCTGGTGCACTCAACTCTTGATTTTTATTGCACACTACAAATTTGAGCACAAAGTACACCTCACACTCACCTCTCGCTTTTCTGCTTCACATTGAAGCCAACCTCGTCGCCCGGATTCCAATTGTTCGGTATTTTGAACATCGTATCCCACTCGTCACTAGAAACACTTTTACAATAAACATTGACATAAATCTCTTGAACTTTAATCTTAAACAGAATATTTTAAAAACTAATTTCTTGCAACTAATCTCTCGTGCAAATCTTTTTCACTTTACCGTGCCCTTCCCTGAGTCGACATGGCGGTGTTAAGCGCTGGAGCAGTTGGGTCCAATGACGGGAAAATTAGCCTGCGAAATTTCAATATCTAGATTTTAATGTGGTCCAAAAAAGCTTAGAATATAAAAATTGATATTTTCTATTGATTTTCTATTGATAAAGAAACCTTGTCCCCAATCCGGGAATCTCTTTTTCTTGCGCGCCCGTCCATCGAATTCTTGTGTGTTTCCCCTTTGGAATCCAAAAAAGTGGCGGAATCGGGCGCTCTTCCATCGTCTGAAATTTCGGGATTCTCGATGTTTTTATACGATTTTACACGATTTTACACGATTTTACACGATTTTACACGATTTTATACGATTTTATACGATTTTATACGATTTTATACGATTTTACACGATTTTACACGATTTTATACGATTTTATTTGATTTAGGCGACGATTTTACACAATAAATACTAAATTTTTTGAATATTTAGTTCTTATGATCAAATTTCTTTAATAAAACTCTATGTAAAACATGAAAGTTGAACCTAATTTAGCCTAATTTAATCTCTAGTTGTACTTTGTGATGAAAGAGTGCCGAAAACATACACTTTCCGGTGCACTAATTCTTCATTTTTCTCACGATACCGGATTGTTGCAAGAAAAATCGAAATTCATGTGCGTTTAGAAAGAGAAAGAGTTACCAGAGAGAGTGCATTTCCAGATTTAAGCTCAAATATCAAAAGAACAAGGTGAGTCAACGAAATAAACATTTAGAAATATTGAAAATCGTTTCACTAAGTGCGCCAGAAAGTGCATGTTTCAGTACACAAAGAAAAGTTCGCAAAGAACTAAAAAAAAACACCTGTACAACTTGTTTATCAATATTTGATAAATTCAATGTGTTCGCTCCAAGCATTCGTGGATGGATTTGTCGAGAATGCGAAGAAAGAGACCCTTTTGCTCTGGAGAGAGAATTTCTCTAAAAATCGATCAAATTTCTCTAAAAGTCGATCAAATTTGCATTTAAAAATAGGTTAAATTCGTATCTACCGTATTCTTTCTAATAGTAGTGCACCCGGCCGAGTTGATGACTATTTTACGATTTCCAAGTTTTCCCAGAAGCTCAACACTCAAATCATCGTCAAGATCTCATCGTCAGCTACATTTTTCGACCCCATATCGATAGGTTCTGATAAGCGCTTCTCGAGATTTCGATCAATTTAGACGACGCTCTGGGTCCACTACTATTAGAGAGAATACGGTAATCGAGTTTGATAAGGCTTTATGCTTTAAGTAAATAAAATAACTGGATTTGAAGGAAAAGCTAAGCTAAAGTTAAAGCTAAAACTAGTCGTGAAGCTAAAACTAGTCACGTAGCCTCAAACGCCTGTAGGTATTTATTGGGTTGGGGAGAATGAGTCGGCGCCGAACTTTAAAGGAACTTTTTGCACACATAAAGCCTTCTTTAAACATACGTTTGGTTTCATCAAAAGGATCCACTATTTCTCTACAAAATCACTTTTGAGAGATTCCACAAAGCTTTTCTTTCGTGGAGTTTATGAACTTCCAAACGCAGCTGGTTAAAATGGCAAAGAGTCCGACTCATCATTTGAACAGTTTCTTTCACATAAACCTTCTTTGGTGTTTATCTAAAAAAGATAGAGCACATTCAATTACTTAAGTTGCCAAATTTGCAGGAAGATCCCACTAATGGTTTTTTCTAGATCACAGTTTGTAGTTTTTGTGAAAAAATGGCTTTTTTCTTGAGCGGAGGCGCTGTTTGAATTTTCTTTTAATGGTCATTTTGTAGAGAATTACTTAACCATTCTACTCATATCAAACGCATATTATTTCACGAAGTCGAATAGAAGTTTTAGACATTTTAGACCCAACCACGTAGCCTCAAATTCTTTCATCTTTCATTAGACCCAACCACGTAGCCTCAAATTCTTTCATCACTTTACCAGAAGAAGGTATTTGTCGAATGATTTTTTTCGAATTTCTTCATTAAAGCTATTGAGAACTATTAGCTATCTTTAAACTGGGATTTGAACGCCTTAATCACTCCAATTTGAACGCCTGAATCACTCCAATTTGAACGCGAATTTGAACGCCAACTTTGTGAGCAAATTCTCTTTTTATGATTTTTGAAAAAAACGGTTTAGAATTTTACAGAATTTCCTCATACCGTATTTTCTCTAATAGTAGTGCACCCGGCCGAGTTGATGACTATTTTACAGTTTCTAAGTTTTCCCAGAAGCTCAACACTCTAATCATCGTCAAGATCTCATCGTCAGCTACATTTTTCGACCCCACATCGATAGGTTCTGATAAGCGCTTCTCGAGATTTCGAGATCAATTTATGCAACGAAATTTTGCTGTACTCAAGGTGCACTACTACTAAAGAGAATACGTTTTCTATATTTCCCTTTCTCACCTTCCTCTCAATTTCCTCTCTAAATCATCATTCATAAAAAGTGGAGCCACATTGGGGTTATTTTTGAGATTCGCAATCACTCGTGATTTGTACTCTTTCATTGGCTAAATAAAGTTTATATTAATAAAGAAATTTTGCTGTACACTGTACTTTGCTACCAGTTATTAGTTTTAAAAATGTAGCAAGAACTAACCCAATCAATGTACGGTAATAAAGAAGTGAAGGAATTGCAAGAAAAGTAGATTTCTGGAGACGGGATTGAACCGTCGACCTTTTGGTTTTGATGGCCATTGAGCTCTAACCACTGATCAGGATCTTGATCAGACGAGAGAAAGAGGGAAAGACAAGGGGAAGAAGAAAGAAAGAAAGAGAGAAAGAAAGAAAGAGAGAGAGAGAGAGAGAGAGAAAGAAAGAAAGAAAGAAAGAAAGAAAGAAAGAGAGAAAGAAAGAAACCTTTACATCCATTTCACTTGGCGCTCTCCGAATCGTTCCCCATTCTGTTGAAATCGCATTGTCGATATCCGGCACTCCCACCAAGATTGGAATCATTTTTCTTGGTCTAAACGAATTTTAGAAAACATTTCAATAGATAAATTGACTTTTTTGCATCTTTACAACGTGCATTTTCCATTGAATTTTCCATTGAATTTTCTGTATTTACTGAAAGACTCAAAAAAAAACTACACACTCTCTTTAGTAAAAGAAAAATGACAAATTTTAAACATTTTAAGCAAATTTTTGATATTTTAAACAAATTCTTTGATCAAATGAAGCAAATTGTTTAGAAAATTTTCGAGAAATCTCACTTTGTTGGTATCTTTCTTGGCACAAGGAATCCCGGCTGTGGATGTGGATTGATTAGACGTCTTTTCGGTATCAACAACCCATCCACTTCATCCACTTTGTAGTTTAGTCTTCTGAAAAGCTTTCCTGTAAGGCTGTAAGCTGAAAAGTCTGTAAAGCTACAGAGCTATGGCAGAAAAGAAGTAGAGGAATTTCTATGCTTTTAAAATACTATTTTCAAAACTACTATCAACAAATTCTCATTTTAGATTTAATCAGCCAAATTTTGGTATCATTGACTGAGTCTTGTGATTCCATTGCGCTCTAATCCATGGTTCCTGTTCGATACAGATTTGGTTCCTGTTCGGTACAGATTTGGTTGCTTTTCGGTACAGATTTGGTTGCTTTTCGGTACAGATTTGGTTCCTTTTCTTCTCTACAGATAGCCTATTTTGTAGAGGAGATCTACAACTTTCAAATAGTTTATAACATTCATCATCAAAACATTCATCGATATCAGGTTTCTATCGTTGGAAATTTATGAAAATGTTGAAATCCGTATTTCTTATCCATTTGACCATCCCTTCTCAGTCAATCAGTCAAAATTGGCTATTCAAATGTAAACTGGCGCTTAGATTACGGTAGTTTTAGAAAGCTACCGTAATCTATTAGTTAAATTACGATAGTTTTCTAAAATAAAAACCCTTTAGCAAAGTATAAAGTCAAATAAAGCCAACGCAAGCGCTTCCGCAATTTCTGGATTCCCAGAGAGACTCGCCACGAATTCCGGATGCAATTTCAACGGCGATCGTCTAATCTAAAGGTTAAATTTGGAAATTCTAAATTTTTAAATCTTTTACAATCTTTAAACCGAAAAGTACTTGATTTTCCGAGCTTTCCTCCTCATCTTCAGCCATCATTTCATTGATTCCCAATGCTAACGCTGATCTCGTCCCAAAGTCTTCCAAAAGATTCGTACTAAAAGTTTTCTTGACATGTTCGTGAATCAAAATTCTTCTTTTCAATGTATTCTTTGATTTAAAATCTTTATCTTTATGTTTATTCTTTTAGGTAAGCAACTTTTTGACGAATCGATCCGACAGTGATCGACCAAGTGGCTCATCGTGAAGTCGGCGATTTGAGAGAAGCGAATGGATTGATGGATTCTGTAAAAAATTGAGGAATTTCAATATAATTGTTTATTAGTTATGAATTAAAGATTAAACATTTTATTTTAACAGTTTCATTTTATTCATTCAAACATTTTATTTCTTTTCTAATATTTCTAATTTTTGCGTGTTTCCTAGGCTCAAAATTTCAAACCAAAGCCAATTGTTTTCCGTTTTTTTTTCAGGTTTTTGAAAGATCAAACAATTTTCTGGACAATTTTTCGACAGTTTACCTGACAAACAGTAGTTTTAAAGAGTAGATTAGACTGTAAGAAATCATTTGAAACAACGGCTCTTGCATAGTTCTCGGACTTTTGAAAAAACCAGAAATTTTGAACGGGTCGTCGGCTTTGAAGGCCTATAACTTTGTCCAGAGATCATATTTTGGTTAACTTTTTATATCATTGGATAGAGGATGTTTTCAGCTTTTGAATGATACCAAATACAGCTTTATTGCATTATCCAGTCCAAGAAAATCAAGCAGTACTGGATCCGTGTTGGATCGATCTCGTTTGCTCAGAGTTGGCACTGATTTCCTTCGACTGGATGATCCGATCAAGCTCTATTTAGTATCATTTGAAAGCCTGAAATGTCCTCTATCCAATGATATAAAAAGTTAACCAAAATATGACCTCTAGACAAAGTTATAGGCCTTCAAAGACGAGCCGTTCAAAATCCCCAGAAACTACGTAAGATCCATTGCCATAAGACGAAAAATCAGCATTTAAATTGTGGAAATACTACGTAATTACTAGATTTACTTATCAGTGAACAGAAATTGAAAAAAACAAGCCTCAAACCTTCAAAAGTATCGCCAAACGTGGACTGCTTCGGAGCCTTGTCTCTAAATCTTCCAAATCGTGCTCATCTTCATCATTTCTTCTCGGACTTCTTCGAATCTCGTTTTCATTGTTCAGCTCAACAGTCGACTCTTCTGCTTGGCTTCGTTGTTGTGCCTGAAAATCTAGAAAATTCAGCCAAAAAATCCAGCCTAACTAGAGAACTACTTGGCGGGGAGAACTACTCCAATCTACTAGGGAACTGTTTCAAATTAACATCTAATTAAGCTACAAGAGCTAGTCCATTAAATTCTACGCAAAATTCTGAGCAAAACCTAGCTTTAAAATCAACCAAATGCCCCCTTTAACCCATGGAAAAACACGTTTGAAAATTGGGAGCGCGAACAATATTGCTTGGTGATATAAGTCTTCCCTCGTCGACTTTCTACAATCACCAGCTAGCCTTGTGGATAGTGTGCTCGGCTTTGAAACTGTTCCTCACTAGTTCGGAGCCTCTTGCAACCAAAATCATTCGATTTTTTTCAAAAACTTTTTTCAAAACTTTAATTTCATGTCTTATTGCGTATAGGATTGAGAGTAAAGTGTTTTTCGTGAGTAAAGTGCGTATAGGAATGGAGAGTAAAGTAAAGTGGGAATGCCTTCTTTAAAACGCACTTAGCTTAGGAAAAATTACCGTACTTTTAGGGAAAATTGCAAATTATTGCATTATTGCATTGCTGCAAAAAAAAATTGGCGCAAAAGTCACGAGCGCCGCCTTATATACGACTCCTTTTAAAGATATTCAACCGTTCAACTGATTTGGTGGGAAATTCCCGTTCAAATGTAAAGATATTCAATTTACTAGACGCGTAAAGAGGATTACTCGTAGTTAGTCGGCGAAAAACGTCGATTAACTATCGATCGAACTATCGATTCATCGAGTAAAAATTACTCATGCAAATTTGACTCGAGTAATTACTTACTTGCAAGGAACACACTCTTAAAAAGAGATTTTTTTTCAAGGTTTTACTAAATTGCTTATAAAAACCCTGAAATTCTTGTAAAAACCCCAAAATGGAGGCTAACTTATTTAGGGAAACTTTGGATCGATTTGAGGTATCGGCAGAAACGCGAGAAAAATGCTTCCAAAGTTAGGAAAAACAGCGACATGAGGCCGAATTACTTGGCCGAATTACAGGTGACCGTATGGTGATGGTGTAGCGGTTAGTGCGCTCTCCTCATGCCCTGGTTCAAGCTGTCCAGGTCTCTGGTTAGGGTCTCCTCTCTGTTTTCAGTCATACCCATAAATACCCATCACCCAGGCCATCCCCATCATCCAGATCATCCCCATCACCCAGATCATCCCCATAACACTTAATCCTATCTTCTGATGATCTTCAATGACTTCTTGAGCCTAAGCCTTAAAGCCAAAAAGCCATAAAGCCAAAAGGGCGAAACTAATTGTGTTTTAATTGCTAAATAACTAAAATAGTGCTATTCAACAACTAGGGAACGATTTTACGGAAACTTTCAAACTGACAATGAGCTTTTGTCGAATCTCTTCGGGCATTTGTTGCATTTGTCTCATTCCACTCATTCCACCGCCTGTATTTGGCATTCGGAATGGATTCCTTCCTGAATATCACTCTTATTCTAATAGATTTCATCTTTAAAAACCTGAAATTATATTTGCGACAAGGCCTGGCAAGATTTGCTGTCGAAATTTCTCGAACACCGCTTTCGCTATCTGAAAGAATTTCTTCTTCTTTTTCCTTTACTTTTCCAAACTTGTTCACTTGGATCGTTGTTCTCGATCTCTTTTTGCGTCTTGATCGCTTGCTCAACTCCTAGAAAATATTGTTTATCTCCTTTTCTAAACATTCAAACTTTTCACAGCTTAAAACTTGAAAATTATTGAGTAAAAAACTCGAGAAAAAGATTGATGAGTTAATAAAATGAGTATTTCGATTGATTCAATCGATTCACCGACCCCGGAAATCCCTGCGCACAAATTTACAGCTGTACAAATTCAGCTGTACAAATACAGCTGAATTTCTTCTTTTTGTGCATCTACAAAGTAAAGTCCTTGTGCAAATGACTGGCAAGAAGTTCTTTGTGTGCGCGCACAATCGCTCGCCGTCTGGCAAACCCGTCTAGCATAAGGGGCATTCCTTTTCGATCGTTTTTCGAGAAAAAGTTTCCTTGGGGGAAGGTTTGATGCCTGCGCTCGGCCTGCGCCCCGAAGTCTTTGCGCCGCCAAGTCTTTTGCACCCGGAAGTCTTTGCACCCCTAAGTCTTTACGCCCCTAAGTCTTTACGCCCCTAAGTTTTGCGCCGCCAAGTCTTTGCACCCGGAAGTCTTTGCGCCCCTAAGTCTTTGCGCTCGGAACCCTTTGCGCTCGGAACCCTTTGCGCCCGGCTCTTTTTGCGCTCGGAACCCTTTGCGCCCGGCTCTTTGCGCCCCTAAGTCTTTGCGCTCGGCTCTTTGCGCTCGGAAGCCTTTGCGCTCGGCTCTTTGCGCTGGGAAGCCTTTGCGCTCGGCTCTTTGCGCTCTGAAGCCTTTGCGCCCGGCAAAATCAAAAATCAGAAATTCGAGAAAAGCCTTCATTTTTTCGAGATTCAAATGGCGAAATTGTGCGTTTTGCCGATTAGCGATTTTTGAAAACAGTTTCTGAACGTACATTTTCAGGTCTTTCTTTTTGCATCTACATCATTGTAACTCGCGGCTAACTTGGGAAGCTTCTCTTGTAAGAGAACAATGCGATCTTAAGCATTTCTCTAATTTCATTAGTTCAATCAACTTCTATTTGTTATTATTTGAAAGCCTGAAGGGTTCTCGTTAAAACTATCTCGATAACGATAATATTTAACGATAATATTATCTCTAAAGCAAGTCCAGAACACTTGACAAACCCTTAATCGACGATCCAATTGGTATCCCATTCTCGTGCAACATATCGACAAAAGCATTTCCAGTTCTCGGTTGCATCGCTGATAATTGTGCTTGTTGTCGGACTGCATCCGCAGCCAAATCCTCGATTTTCATATCTTTGTACTTAGCATACTGTAACTGATAAGGTTCCGTTTTTTTTTAAACCTTTCAACCTGTTTCGGATTCACTTTCTCCAGCACTTCCAATTGAGTCTTAAAAGCTCCTTTAGCCATCTCCATTTGTCCCTTTTTGATGAGAGCATCGATAAAACGAATGCCAAATGTTTCGAGAGATTCCTAAACCAAAAAAAAACAGATTACAGTTTTCTAACGTTTTAAAGCTACCATAATCTTGTCTCCAATTCTTTTCTATCCACTTTTGATCTAATTCTTTGGTAGCCTAGCGCCTTTTTGACACCAGCCTTTCTTTTGTAATCTAGCTACAGTAGTCTAGCTATGTTAATCTAGCTACAGTATCTGGCTACAGTATCTAGCTACAGTAAACTAGCTACAGTATCTAGCTGCAGTAGTCTAGCTACGCTAATCTAGCTACAGTATCTAGCTACAGTAATCTAACTACAGTAATCTAGCTACAGGAATCTAGCTACAGTATCTAGCTACAGGGATCTAGCTACAGTATCTAGCTACAGTAAACTAGCTACAGTATCTAGCTACAGGAATCTAGCTACAGTATCTAGCTACAGTAAACTAGCTACAGGAATCTAGCTACAGGAATCTAGCTACAGTATCTAGCTACAGTATCTAGCTACAGGAATCTAACTACAGTGATCTAGCTACAGTAAACTAGCTACAGGAATCTAGCTACAGGAATCTAACTACAGGAATCTAACTACAGGAATCTAGCTACAGTAATCTAGCTAGTAATCCAGAGTGTTTCTCAAATACAGTAATTGTTTTTATTTTGCAAAAAGTGAGCTGATTTTTAAGCTTTACGGCAAAGTAATCATTTTTCAAAAATCTCTAAAATTTGAACGAAAAGCTGTGCTCATTTTTTACAAGTAATTTCTTGGAGTCGACTTGTAAATAGTAGACAAAAAGTGTTCTTGAATTGGTGGATTTGTTTTTAAGAAATTTGAGTGTAAATCGAACCGCAAAGACAGAGGCAAAGAGCAAAGACAAAGAGAAAGAGGCAAAGAGAATAGAATCAAAGCTTACAATAGTTTTTTTAAAGTTTACACTTTTTAGAAAAGCTTTTCTCTGAGCTTTGAAAGCTTTGAAAGCTTTGAAAGCTTTGAAGGCTTTGAAAAACCTTTGAGGGTAAAATCTTCTCGAAGCGCTTCGTGTCGGTGAGTAGATTGAGGCTTGAGGGATTTGTTTGCTCAATTGAATGGCTTTCCGATGATGAGAAACGGCGACACGAGACGAAACCTATCAAATAATGGATTACGGCTTTTAAACGTAGCTTTTCAATGGCAAAGATAGTTCAAAATCCCGCAGCTTTAAATTTAGAGCCACCAACCACCAACCCAATAAATTTAGAGCTAAATTTAGCAAAATTTTCAAGTTTTCCTCGAATTTCAAAGCTTTACACACCAGGATCAAAGCTTGACGATTCACTGGGCCATTAACTGCTCAATTCAGAGCTATCTAGAGCTAAATTTAGCAAAATTTTCAAGTTTTCCTCGAGTTCTTACGGTAGAAAGAGAAAGGAACACCATTTAGAAAACAAGGGACAAAATAACAAGCAAAATCCGATCAACAACTTTCTACAGCTTTTCCATTGACACCAAAATGGGTTTCTTTTGAAGAAAGTGCTCAAACTGTCACATATGAGAATAGCCGGCAGTTTTTCGATTCACCAACCCAATAATTAGAAAGTAATTAGAAAAATCGAATTTACCTGTAAGAAGCAGTAAAAATAGTAATCGGATCATAGAGAAAAAGGAATTTGGGTGTTTTTTTTTTTTGAAGTTTGACTCTGTTTGACTGTTTCTAGAATAATAATAAATCAGTAACAAATAAATTAGCTAAAAATGAAAGAAAAATTCAATAAATGAACAAATAAAGAATCGAGAAAAGGAATGTGAAGAGAAACCGGCTTTGAATGGATGGATTTTGATGAATTGACACGGTCAACCTTTCACACTTCAAGCCGGTTGATTGAGAAGAGATTTTTGGTGAAAAAATTGTTGATAAAGCATTAATAAAGCTTTAATAAAGCTTTAATAAAGCTTTGTTAAAGCTTTTGATTGCTTTATTAATGCTTTTGACTGTTTTCTCAAATAGGTGCCTTTTAGAAAACGCATCACTCGAGAGGAACACCCTAAGCACCTAAGCTATCTATTAGAGATGTTCCTCTCGTGTTCTAATAGATAGCTTAGGTGCTTAGGGTGTTTTGATGGCCTTTTGCTTTATCTAAACATAGAATCTCCATCTGGAAAAATCTAGAGATGTTCAAAACCAAAAGTGTAGATCGAAAGTCTAAAGAAAACAAAAAAAAAAAAAAACAAAACAAAAACAAAACATAATGCCTGGCTTTTGCTTTACTTTCGCACTTACCTTGTAGATGAACTTGAGCCTTGCAGAGCCCTGCAGCGTCTCCAAAAATTTGTAAACCCATCAAATCACTATAGCCGGGTGATTTTTATTCTTTTATAATAAAATCAGCAATATTAAAATAAAAAAACAGGTGGTTGCCGTAAAAAAATTTTTTATGGTCACCCGGCCGCGATTAATACCCCCCTTTAATATGAAAGCAACGGCTTGATAGAGGCGGCTATGCTGTTTCTGAATATGCTTCTACTTTTTCCAAAAGATATCTGTAACGCGAGATATCTAGCATCAAAGTTGCTGTTGTTGTTGTTGCTGTTGTTGTTGGTGCTGGTGCTGTTGCTGTTGCTGTTGTTGCTGTTGTTGTTGCTGTTGCTGTTGTTGTTGCTGTTGCTGTTGTTGTTGCTGTTGTTGTTGCTGTTGCTGTTGTTGTTGCTGTTGCTGTTGTTGTTGCTGTTGTTGTTGCTGTTGCTGTTGTTGTTGTTGCTGTTGTTGTTGCTGCTCAAAATCTTAATTTAGTTATTTCTTCTGTATTCTGATTGATTCTAGTGTTACAGAGTTTTAGGCAACAAGTTTAAGCAACAACAACAATAACAAGGCAACAAGTGTAAGTTTTCGCTTCTAGTATTCAATGTACTTCTATTTACAGCTTTATTTGCTCATTTCCCTCACAAATAACCATTTTGCATTGATGGTGACTGAGAAAGTAGATTGAGAAAGGAGAAAAGATCCCGTTCCGCTTGTGAATCCCATTCAAAGGGGGCTAATTTTTATGTGCAAAAAGAGAACCTGTCTTTTCTTCTTTTGTACCATTCTTTTCGGCCGCAAAAATCCTTGACTTTTCCCCCGTCAGCTCTCATTGATTGACCTTTTCCATATTCTTTTTCGCTATCTTTCTTTTATCCTCCAAAAATGGTTTATCAGAAAGATAACTGAATATCTTTATTAAACGAAAACATCTGTTTTTTTTTTCTTTTTGGCCGTTAAGATTAGGTTGGCAAGTTATAAACGATCGTTTTTAGGTGTTATAAACGATCGATCGTAATGTGTTTTCTGAAAAAACGGCTTATCCAATCAAAAAAACGGTTTCCTTCATTCAAAAGCCCTATCCTTAATCTACAAAATGGCTTTTTGAATTTTTGAAAAATCTTTTATTTTAGAACTTCAGGCAACTTCAGGCATTTTAATGTAAGAGTTGAAAACGCTGATTTCTAGCATTCATGAGCTATTATATTGGGTTGATGCATAATTATCCGGACTTCTTTTATAAATGATTTTATTTAACAAAAAATAACATAAATAGTTAGAAAAATATGTTTAATTGATTATTCTGGAGCATATTCACCGCCTACATCAATAACTGATTGCCATTTGCTTGGAAGACGATCGATTCCACGAGCGAAGAATAAACGATCTTTGGAGGCAATCCACGCTTTAACATCGTCTATCAAGTCATCCAAATCGTTGTAGATCTTATTTGTTTGCCAATTTTTGAGCGATCGATTGACGTGGTAGTCCGTTGGGGCTTCTCCAGTTCTTTGAGATCGCGAAACGACTCTGCGGCAGACCATCCCTTTTCGAAGTGGTAGAGCATGATATGGCGAAGATGGATATGATTGTCGACACGCATTTTGTTCACTAAAGAATAACGAATATTTAAAAAAAAGAAATAGACAAAAAGCTTTCAAAACAAAAAAGATACAAGCACGCAAAAAGAAGTCCGGATAATTATGCATCAACCCAATATTTTTGAGTGATTGCATACTTTTTAAAATAAAACGCTTCATCAATTACAGTTTTCGATTACAGTTTCCCAAAATTTCAGAAAACACATTACCCAAAAACGATCGTTTATAACTTGCCAACCTAATAGATATTAGGTAAAAGATATTTAGTTGTTAGACTGAAATTTCTGAAGACTACTTGAGCTGTTGGCTGCCCTAGACCTTTTTGTTTGTCTTGTCATTCATTGTCTTAGTGTCTTAGTAATTGGTAATTGATTCCTTTTGGTTTGGTTCTTTTTCGATTACAGATTTGGTTCTTTTTCGGTATAGATTTGTTTCCTTTTCGGTACAGATTTGGTTCCTTTTCGGTACAGATTTGGTTCCCTTTCGGTACAGATTTGGTTCCTTTTCTCTATTGAACTTTTAACCGAGTGGAGTGGCCGACTGGCTAAGAGACCGGGCTCTTAGCCACTCGGCCATAGCGGTCTTTGCGAGCCGTATTGGACGTATTGGAACCGTATTGGAACCGTATTGGAACCGTATTGGAACCATATTGGAACCATATTGGAACCGTATTGGAACCGTATTGGAACCTTATTGGAACCGTATTGGAAGCGTATTGGAACCTTATTGGAACCGTATTGGAAGCGTATTGGAACCGTATTGGAAGCGTATTGGAACCTTATTGAAACCATATTGAAACCATATTGGAACCGTATTGGATCATAATAGGAACCTTATTGGAGCCGTATTAGATCAAAATACCTCAACCATGCCCCCCAAGCGTCCCTGAAGGCAAAAGGGACATCCTTAAGTGGTTTTTCTGATTTTCAATGAATTTACAAGCTAATTTAAAGCTAATTTAAACTAATTTAAAGCTAATTTAAAGCTAATTTAAATTCATAAAAGCCAAAAAAGAAACTGACACACATTTTTCTTGCTAACACATTTTCTCTGTTTCCTGAACTCATTTGCAGTCAGCCCATACACAAATGACACAAATGAACACACAAAAAGCTGACAAAAAGCTGAAAAAAAAGAAACTGACAAACATATTTACATTCCAAACATTTACAAATGACAATAAAGCTTGAAAGTGAAAGCTAGTATGGTTGATTTTTCTTTTAAAAATCAACTTCAAATACTTGATAATCGATTTTCTTCACTGTAAAAGCATCTTTTCAGCAACTAGAAACGCTTTTTTTGAACTCAAAATCTCTAAGAGAACCGGTTGACCATAAATCTCAAAGCTTTTCAAAAAAAAAACCCAACCAAACAACAAAAAGAATCCTTTTCCTTTTATAGAAATCATGTTTTTCTCTTTTTTTTTCTTTTTTTGTGACTTTCTGTTTGATTGACAATTGTTTTTGAAAATGAATGATGAAATGAATTGAATGAAATGATTCTTTTCTAGTAAACGCACGCTATCTGGCACAACTCAATAGAACAACCATTTCCCTTCAACTTCTGATGATTTCAACGATTCACCTAAAACAATAAAACAAAAAATGCCTCAATTCAGCGACTTTGCCTCGAAAATGGGTAAATTTCGGTTGAATTTCTGTAGAATAATCGGCTAATTTCCGATTTTCTGATTTCTAATCTATAAAGAAATGAGTATTCAGGCCTCAGCTCACTTCATCGCTTTCTTCGCAGTCTTCTATGGGAAGAAGATGTTGATTATGACCAGTTTGAGTCAAGGTTTGACTTTTGGCTTCTGGTTTTGGATTGATTTGATCTCTAGTTTCACTCTTGATCTGGTTTTAAAAAATCCATTTAGACGAATAATGCGGTACAAAGAATAGATAAGCAAAACTTCTAGAGAAAAAATCTAGAGAAAAAACCAAAAATGAAGAAAGCGGGATTGAACTTTTGAGCGAGTGGATTGACCGACTGGCTAAGAGACCGCGCTCTTAGCCACTCGGCCATAGCGGTCTTTGCGAGCTGTATTGGAGCCGTATTGGATCATAATAGGAACTGTATTGAAACCGTATTGGAACCGTATTGGATCATAATAGGAGCCTTATTGGAACCGTATTGGATCATAATAGATAGGAACCTTATTGGAGCCGTATTGGATCATCATAGGAGCCTTATTAGAGCCGTATTGGATCATAATAGATAGAAACCGTATTGGAGCCGTATTGGAACTGTATTGGAACCGTATTGGATCATAATAGGAACCGTATTGGAACCGTATTGAAACCATATTGGATCATAATAGGAACCTTATTGGAGCCGTATTGGATCATCATAGGAGCCTTATTAGTGCCGTATTGGATCATAATAGATAGGAACCGTATTGGAGCCGTATTGGAACTGTATTGGAACCGTATTGGATCATAATAGGAACCGTATTGGAACCGTATTGAAACCATATTGGATCATAATAGGAACCTTATTGGAACCGTATTGGAACCGTATTGGAACCGTATTGAAACCATATTGGAACCGTATTGGATCATAATAGGAACCTTATTGGAGCCGTATTCCTGTTCGGTACAGATTTGGTTCCTGTTCGATACAGATTTGGTTCCATTTCTCTACAGATTTGGTTCCTTTTAAGTAATTCGCGACTCGCGTATAATGTTCCCTCACGATCGATGTCAATCCCCTTTAAGACGGTTCCAATACGGTTCTAATACGGTTCCTTTTAAGGAAAAGGAACCGTATTGGAACTGTATTGGAACCGTATTGGATCATAATAGGAACCGTATTGGATCACAATAGGAACCTTATTGGAGCCGTATTGAAACCATATTGGAGCCGTATTGGATCATAATAGGAACCTTATTGGAACCGTATTGAAACCATATTGGAACCGTATTGGATCATATTAGGAGCCGTATTGGAACCGTATTGGAGACTGAGTTTCGAAAGAAAACTTTGTTTAGAAGCCTTCGCATCCTATCAATAGTTCAAGAAATACGCAAAGTAAATAGTGATGTTTCTCGTTCTTTAACTTTTATTAATGACTTTCAATGAAATAACTTTAAACCCTGTAAAGCAGATTACATTTTTTTCAAATTATAAACTTCAAATCTTTATATTTTTTTTGTTATCGTTAATAAAATTGTTATAATCGTTAATAAGATTTTGATTAAGACCTCTATAAGATTTGATTAAGAAAAGCAGTTTTATTTAGCTCTCTGTATAAGAAAATGGATATAATGATAGCCTGGAGATAATGATATCATCGATATAACGATATAACGACATCCGGTCATTTGGCTATCGTTTTATAGAGATTCAACTGTAGTTTATAACTAGTTTATAGTTGAAAAATTTATCGACAGTGTAAAAAAGCTCAAAGTGACCATTCAAAGTGACCAAGTTCAATATTTTGAGCCTCACGTCATTTTTTTTCCCCCAGTGGAGAGCGGAGAGTTGTAAAACGTGTTGAACAATATTTTTTGAGCTTCTAACTGAATATCTATTGACTATCTTCTTTTAAAAGCTATACATTTATAAATATTCAATTGAAATTTGATTTTAGAATGGATGGCACAGATATTGTGATGTTTCGCGAGAATGATAAAGCTTTTCGTTTATTTCGAACAAATGTTCATGTAAAGGTGAGGGTTTTTTTTGTTTTAAATGCTTTGCTTTAAATGCTTTAAAGCTTTAAATGTAAATTAAATACAAACTAAATAACAAACTACCGTAAATACTGTAATAGTACCCCACCGCCCTCGTACAGTCGCGTAGTCGCAAAAGTTTTTTAGTATTTCATTTTTTTCAAAGCGCATGTACTTTCAAAAAATGCGCCTTTGGTATCAAAAAATAGCCCTGAATTTCAGCTATTTTTTGAAACCAAAACGAACATTGTAGCATAAACCAGTGTCGAGAAAAACGCGTTCAAAGCTAGACTACGCAACACTCCGCACCGTCATTATGGGAGTGCGGTGCTATTACAGTATTTATGGTAAACACAAACTAAATACAAATCAAACAATAGAAAAGCTTTTCTTTTACCAAAACCTCTGACTAAAAACCATTTCCAGATGGGCGCCTATATTGCTTGCCTCATCGGTTTCGCTGTGACCATTTTTTATTGTATCAGGTATCAAATTGAACTTTGTGCTCGAAATTTGTAAACGCACACCTTCTAGTGCAAACGCTCCCAACCACTAGCCAACCACTAGGCTACGAGGCATTGTCTACGAGGCATTCCCTACAAGGGCTCAATTGGGCATTATAACCACAGCAAACGCTCCCAACCACTAGCCAACCACTAGGCTACGAGGCATTGTCTACGAGGCATTCCCTACAAGGGCTCAATTGGGCATTATAACCACAGCAAACGCTCCCAACCACTAGCCAACCACTAGGCTACGAGGCATTGTCTACGAGGCATTCCCTACAAGGGCTCAATTGGGCATTATAACCACAGCAAACGCTCCCAACCACTAGCCAACCACTAGGCTACGAGGCATTCCCTACAAGGGCTCAATTCGGCATTATAACCACAGCAAATGCTCCCAACCACTAGCCAACCACTAGGCTACGAAGCATTGCCTACAAGGGCTCAATTGGGCATTATAACCTTGACGCAAACCATTTAAGAATCATAAACAATCATAAGAATTTGAGGGATTTTAAAATCTCTTCAATTTTCAAGCAATTTTCAGTTACACTTTTTATCACTCGAGAGGAATGGGCCGAAATCCGTTCATCGATCATTTGGAGTTAGGTTTGTTTTGTACAGAGTCTATTTCAAAGCTCTCATAGAAATTCCTTGCACTTTGAATCCTCATAAACGCTCGCTTTCTAGTATCTCGATATCGCTTTCTCGTATCCGCGATGATTCAGGATTTGTGTGCGCCAGAAAGCGCTCGTTTATGAGAGCACAAAGTACATATATAGCTATCCAAGTCGTTTGACTGAAGATTTATTACAATTGGATACTGGTTGTGAAAACCGCCTAGCGGATGTTTTGAGGCTTTTTTTCTGAGCATCTCCCTCCTGTCACCATGGCGCAGTCGGGAGCGCGCTCGTCTACAACCCAGAGGAGCCGGGTTCGACCCTCGTAGTGGCACTTATTCTTTGCTTTTTTAATTTTTTTCTTTAAGTAGCACAACTACAATGTGTTCTAAGGTTTTCTAAGAAATTCTAAGGAATTCTAAGGAATTCTAAGGAATTCTAGCTTATATAAAGCTTAAATAAATGAGCCTTCTCAATTCGAATATTGAAAATCCCATAACTTCATTCAAAAAAAACTTTATTAATCAAAATAAGAACCATTACAATTAACACATTTTTGCTAATGAGAAACAAGTTTATTTATGCCGGCAGCCTAGAAGTCCGGGCTTCTGGAGGCGATCTGGCGAAAGTTCGTTTCGGACATCTAAAACGGGGAAGCTTGAAATTCGCAAAAGAATTTTATTTTCAACAAAATTTAAAAGTATGGTTAAAGAGAGCACGAACTCAGCTTTCTAATGGGATATAAAAGGAAAGAGCATACTTTATTGCATTCTAATGGTATATACAAGGTACAGAACATACTTTATTGCTTTCAAATGGTAGATACAAGGTACATAGCATCATTACAAGGTACAGAGCATACTTTATTGAGAAAAATGTACCCAAATAATAAACAATACAAAACGCTCATTTATTTCCGGACAGCCTAATAGCTGGACAGATAGACAGATAGATAGATAGATAGATAGATAGATAGATAGATAGGCAGCTAGCCATATAGACAATGCTCTTTTATCTATAGTAGATAGATAGATTGAAATTTTACAGCTCTTTAAAAGGTATTCAGTTGATCTAATCTTCGCTTTCCTTGTCGGTCTTCCCTGTCACGCGATTCTCTTTTTGGGGATTCGAAAGGAGAAAAAGTTGTTCTTTATGTGAGTTTAGTTTCTCAATTTCCTTACATTTTATCCCATTTTCAGCCCATTCTTGATCTTTTACTGTACAAATTTCATGCTAAATGTCATCTTCACAGTCATCACAATCATCGCCGCCATTTTCGACTTTCATCAGAAACTTTTCGGGAATGTTCGCTGGGATCTCGGATGGACATTGTTTCAGGCTAGTATTTAGCATACAACTTGTAAGAAAAGCTACAAATTAAAGTGCTTTAAAATAAAAGTACAGCTTACAAAGTACTTTAAAACCAGTAAAGTCGTTTAAAACATTAAGTCTGATACCTTAGCCTAAGCCTAAGCCTGAGCCTGAGCCTAAGCCTGAGCCTGAGCCTGAGCCTAAGCCTAAGCCTGAGCCTGAGCCTAAGCCTGAGCCTGCGCCTGAGCCTAAGCCTAAGCCTGAGCCTAAGCCTGAGCCTAAGCCTAAGCCTGAGCCTGAGCCTGAGCCTAAGCCTAAGCCTAAGCCTAGCCTAAGCCTCGCGTGAACCCAACGTCGATCTTAATCGTCTCACGCTTAGCACAAATAAAACGATTCTTGCTCAAGAAGCAATGGTAAATTTTTGAATCTAATATTAGAGAATAATAAGCTTTTCCATTTATATGTCGTAACCGTTTACGAAATTCAGCCGAATCATTCGTTAATGGCTAACCCATTACGGATGATTCGTTAACGGCTAGCCGGTTGATTCCTAAGCCTAAGCCTAAGCCTAAGCCTAAGCCTAAGCCTAAGCCTAAGCCCAAGCCTAAACCTTAGCCTAAGCCTAAGCCTAAGCCCAAGCCTAAACCTTAGCCTAAGCCTAAGCCTAAGCCTAAGCCTAACCTAAGCCTAAGCCTAACACCTTAGCCTAACTAACCAAAAACTCTTTCAGATCCTCTTCACAGCCGCTCAGGGTTTAGCCATTTATGTTGTGATTCGATGCCGGAAATATGTGGCAATGAAAACATTGTGGAAACAGCGAAATGCTGAGGTGAGGGAAACTTTTTTTCATTAGAAAAGGATTCTAAAACAATAAAACAATAGATTCTAATTATTCTAACATTAGATTCTAACAATTATACAAATTCAAAAACAAAATTTGTGTTGGTTTTATCAAATTTTTCATTGCATTGCACTTTTTTTACGACTTTGTTTGTTTTGGTAGCACTTCAATTGGGTTTTCGTGAGTGTTTCAGTCAATTTAGTTTTCTACCAGGTGATTGAAAATCAATAATGTTCAGCTCAAAACAGAAAACCCTTTGTTGTCCAAAGTCAAGTGCTGTGGACCCTTCTTTAGGAGTTGTCGATGATTTTAGCGATTGTGAGCACGTTGAACTGTGAAAAGCTTCTCATCCGTGAACAAAACGTTTCTCCAGCGATCATTGGCGACCAGGCAATCATTGCCAATCATTGGCGATCATTGACGATCATTGCTGATCATTGCCGATCATTGACGATCATTGGCGACCATTGGCGATCATTGGCGATCATTGACGATCATTGACGATCATTGACGATTATTGGCGATCCTTGGCGACCATTGGCGATCATTGCCAACCTTTGCCGATCATTGACGATCATTGGCAATCAGTCGATCATTGGCGACCATTGCCAACCATTGGCAACCAGTCACTTCATCTTCTTTGCCTTGGCGAGACGCTACCTTCATTCAAAAATGTCCGCAAATTTGTAGCTAAACATGTTCTTCCCAACAATCGTTTGAGCTGGTTCTCTGCTAATTTTCAACGATTTTGCAAGGCATCGATATCTCTGGGTTTCGACGAATTCGGCACCTGATCTTGTTGATGTTCTCTGGAGTGACCTGGAGTGATCTGGAGTGATCTGGAGTGATCTGGAGTGATCTGGAGCATGGTGGCCTTCCATTTCTGGAATCCGACTCATCCTCCAACTCTTGAAAACGATCCACTGTCCGTTTGACCTTCATTTTGTTACATCGCTCGTACAACGTCTGGATACAACAAATCTTGAAGCCACGCTTGGATCGTGGTTTGCTGAAGTCACGCTTGAATCGTGGTTTGCTGAAGTCACGCTTGGATCGTGGTTTGCTGAAGTCACGCTTGGATCGTGGTTTGCTGAAGCCACGCTTGTGCAACTCGATGATGGTGATGCGTTCCTTATTTTGTGATCCTAAAAAATCAAATTTTAAAAACAGATCAACAAATGAAGAAAAGATTTTTCAGCGAAACAACAACACTTCCTCAATCATTGCTGACGGGGTGACCATCGAAAATGCATGATCATTCAAAAAAACAAAAAAGAAAAACATAAAAACCAGTGTTTACTTTAATTTTCATTCTGTACGTGCTATTTTCTTGATTCGTTTTTTTGCCAATAAAAGATTCATCAAAATGCAAAAGGAAATTTGATTTTGTAAACCCGTTAAAAAGCGAGAAAGAGAGAAAGTGACCAAAAGAAGAAAAAGCTAAAGAAAAACGGGGGGAGGGCACATCGGCGCGAAATAAGGCAAAAATGCGTTTTCTATAGGATTTTTCTGGGAGTACCTTTTTTAGATGCGGAAAATTGTGCTGATTCCGAATCTGAAGGAATTTTCCAAATCCCTCTGACAGAAATTTTTTAAATTGAGTTTTAGCAGTTTTTTGGTCATTTTGTATGGGAAATTTTGTGGTACCCTGCAGTTTGGAGCTCGTAACTCGACAACGAGGGTCTAGAACCAAAAACGAAGGAGTAGGTCTTATTCTAGAGATTCTTACGAATATTTTGATGCAAAAATCATAAAATTTGCTCAACTCTACAAAAAGTTATAACATTTTTTAAAGAAGAAATGAGAAAATTTAAAAAATTCTCTATTGCACAATTGTTTTGTTCAAAAGAACAATGTAGCTATGTATCGTATTCACTCAAAACAATTAAGGAATATGCAAAATAATGACTGAAGTGCGCGGGAGAGTCGAACCAACAACCCCGTACTTTTGCGCTGGATTGACGTCGCGCGCCTTAGACCACTCGGCCACGGTTTCCCCTGATGTTTTTAGTGTATTTTGAAAAATTTCTCTAAAGATGTTATAACTTTTTGTAGAGTTGAGCAAATTTTATGATTTTTGCATCAAAATGTTCGTAAGAATCTCTAGAATAAGACCTACTCCTTCGTTTTTGGTTCTAGACCCTCGTTGTCGAGTTACGAGCTCCAAACTGCAGGGTACCACAAAATTTCCCATACAAAATGACCAAAAAACTGCTAAAACTCAATTTAAAAAATTTCTGTCAGAGGGATTTGGAAAATTCCTTCAGATTCGGAATCAGCACAATTTTCCGCATCTAAAAAAGGTACTCCCAGAAAAATCCTATAGAAAACGCATTTTCGCGCCGATGTGGGTGGGGGGCACAACGAGTACGTAGTTTGAAAAAAAACCATTTGTCTTCAAATCAAAAATCTAAGCACTAACAATTCTTAAATGATGTCCAACTAAGAGAAAAAATGCAAAAAGAATCGATTTCGACTTGTCAATTTTTTGTTGATAGGTCGAGAAATTTTGTCTTTTGACATAATCAATTCTCCTAAGATATCCCAGTTGAAATTATTCAAATTCCACTTTCCTGGGCCAATTTTTTTGCGTAGATTCCAAAAAACACACTTTCAGCACGATTTGACGACGGTATCGCGATGAAAAGTGACTTTGAAAATTTCTACGTTTCAACTTTGGTGTTCAGAAGGGCAAAAACCTGAATAAAATAGAAAACATATAGAAAAACGACTACCATCGTGTAGAGCTCAACCTGAGCTTTCAGAATACATAACACTTATGGGTTCTGTCGAGTACTTTTGTAGATATGGCGTATCAAAGTTGGTGAACTCCATGGCCAGCACCGTTGATGTTTTGATTAGGTCAAAAGACAAAATTTCTCGACCTATCAACAAAAAATTGACAAGTCGAAATCGACTCTTTTTGCATTTTTTCTCTTAGTTGGACATCATTTAAGAATTGTTAGTGCTTAGATTTTTGATTTGAAGACAAAAATATTTGTACTCGTTGTGGGGGGGGTAGTCAAAACAGCGCCATAGAAAACGTTCAAAACAGCGCCGTCAAATTTCTCAAAATCCAAAAAACCAAGCCGGTTCAAGTTTTATATCAAAAAATCCCTTGCATTCTTGGCTACATGATGGGTGAAACAGTTTTTAAAAAAGTTAATATTTTATAGATAGAATTGGCGTTCAAAATGTGTGTCGAGTGATACTCAGTTGGTTAACTGAATATCTTTAGAGACCCATTTTGAAGAGGGGAAGGAAGAGGGGAAAGAAGAGGGAAAGAAGAGGGAAAGAAGAGGGAAAGGAGAGGGGAAAGAAAGGAGACAAACACGCAAACAGTCTTCTGATCATGGGGAAATGGCAGACAGAAGTGAATGGATGGTGAGCAGAAAGTGCAAGGAATCTGGAAGAGAATTGGAGGCGGCCAGTCTCGAGAAGACAAATCCTTATTGTTAGCGGTTTTCTGGGTTGGGTTGACAAATCTATTCAAGTTTTCAAGTAGCTTTTAACGTTTACCCAAGTAGCTTTTAACGAGCTTGGCTCATGCTGATAGCTGGCTGATAGCTGGCTGATAGCTGGCTGATAGCTGGCTGATAGCTGGCTGATAGCTGGCTGATAGCTGGCTGATAGCTGGCTGATAACTGGCTGATAACTGGCTGATAACTGGCTGTCGAGTGATACTCAGTTGGTTAACTGAATATCTTTAGCGACCCATTTTGAGCTCTTTTTATCTTCTAGAGTGCTCTTTTTATCTATGAAATATTAACTTTTTTTAAAAAAACTATTTTACCCATCATGTAGCCAAGAATGCAAGGAATTTTTCGATATAAAACTTGAACCGGCTTGCTTTTTTGGATTGTGAGAAATTTGACGGCGCGCCGTTTTGAACGTTTTCTATTATGGCGCTGTTTTGACTACCCCCGGAAAAAACAAAAATAAAAAAACAAATAAAAAACACAAATAAAAAAACTTTATAAATGCCTAGCATTAATATTCAGCTATAAAACGAATAACCCTTTTTCTCTAAACGATTTTGTATATCAATTATCGAGTCGATCGTCTCTTTATCACGAATGTTCATTTTGTTGAGATCCTCGCAAGAGAGAGCGAAAAATGTCTGAAAATTATGGCAATTTTCGATCGCATCATTCTACTAGTTTTGCTGCTCCTTTTAAATAACAAAATCATTTGAACAGGAGTTCTCTGGAATCTCTGGAATCTCTGGAATCTCTAGAATCTCTAGAATCTCTGGAATCTCTGGAATCTCTGGAATCTCTGGAATCGCTCGAATCTCTAGAAAAAAACCGCCAGAAATTTTCACGGAGCGTAGCATACGGGTTCAGGTAAATGGAGAGAACAGTATGTGATTAGCCCCATCGTTTTGGGCCTCACTATGCCTAGATTTTGGGACAATCACGATTGCGTGGACGACAATGGACGTTTTACTTGAAAGATCAAAGGTTCCTCTGTTAAGATCATCGACAGCGCTAGAACTTTTCCCAGAGCGTAGCATACGGGTTCTGCCATGGAGAGTAAAGCAATGGTTTAATAAGAAACTTTTCCTGAACGAAACTTTTCCTGAACAAAACTTTTCCCGAAAGATACCGATCCCAAAAGGAACACCTATCTATCAGGAGCGTCTGCCAGATGGAGAGCGATTGTGCGCGCGCGCAAAGAACATCAGTCAGAAGCACAAAGTACAAGGTACGAAACTTTTCCTGAACGAAACTTTTGCTGAACAAAACTTTTCCCGAATGATACCGATCCCAAAAGGGAACAACTATCTATCAGGAACGTGTGCCAGATGAGGAGCGCAAAGAACGCCAGTCAGAAGCACAAAGTACAAAGTACGTAGGGATCCTTCTGTAGATGCACAGAGATGCACAGAGATTCAGCTATGAATTTGTACCCAGCAGTTTCGGGATCGGCGAATCGATTAGAGCTATTCATTTCATTGAGTCTAATCTTTTTCTTGCCACTTTTCTAAGCCATTTGATCGTCCATATTCTTCCAAACACTTTCTGGTTCAAAAAAATTGAATCAACTACCTCATAATCGATCTCCTCTTCAATCATCACTTGCACATACTCGGAGAGACCACAACTGCGCATCTCATCCCAAATTAGAGCTAAAGATCGATAACTTTTCACTGGTGTCGTTCAAAATTAGATTTTGCTTACATGGCTTGAGTCTAAATCATAAAGAACCCTTCTTTTTTTAAAAATAATGTCATTCAGTTCTAATTTCTGACTAGCTTTTGCTCATCATTACTTTCTTTTCCCTGTAGATCGTGCAATGGCATTGTCGATCGCATACTGTAGCTGTGATACTCGGTGATTCGTGGGCCCATCACTGACGAGAGATTCGATGGACCGGGTAATGATGGAGTGGAAACACTTCTGAAAATCGGAATTGATTGATAGAAAACTCAATTCAGCAACTCTGCATTCTGCATTCAGCATTCAGCATTCAGCATTCAGCATTTAGCATTTAGCATTTAGCATTCAGCATTCAGCATTCAGCATTCAACATTTTGCATTCCGCATTCAGCATTCAGCATTCTGCATTCTGCATTCAGCATTCAGCATTTAGCACTTAGCATTCTGCATTTAGCATTCAGCATTCAGCATTCAGCATTCAACATTCTGCATTCAGCCTTCAGCATTCTGCATTCAGCATTCTGCATTCTGCATGCTGCATTCAGCATTCAGCATTCAGCATTCAGCATTCAACGTTCTGCATTCAGCATTCTGCATTCTGCATGCTGCATTCAGCATTCAGCATTCAGCATTCAGCATTCAACGTTCTGCATTCAGCATTCTGCATTCTGCATGCTGCATTCAGCATTCAGCATTCAGCATTCAGCATTCAACGTTCTGCATTCAGCATTCAGCATTCTGCATTCAGCCTTCAGCATTCTGCATTCAGCATTCAGCATTCAACGTTCTGCATTCAGCATTCTGCATTCTGCATGCTGCATTCAGCATTCAGCATTCAGCATTCAGCATTCAACGTTCTGCATTCAGCATTCAGCATTCTGCATTCAGCCTTCTGCATTCAACAATTCAGCAATTCAGCAACCAACTTTCGCATGTGCTGTTGATAATCACCAGACGGTGGAAAGAGGAAATTCGCGTGTAGAGAGGCTCTCCCCGGTGATCCATCGCTCGTACCATTCATCCCATCCAACACCAAAGAATCCCGGGATTTCTGTGGAGTTTCTTTGAAAGTTTTTCTTCCGAAAACCAACCTTGATCATTCTTGGAGTGGTTCTGAGAGAAAAAGTCGGACTTTGACCATCCGGATAACCGACGATTGAGCGCGGGCGACGATCTGGAATTGATCAAAGTGTAATAGTAGCAAATTCACTGTATTTTGCGCGTACAGTTGCGTGCAGTTGCGTACGGTCGCGTACAGCTGCGTACAGTCGCGTAGTCGTTAACAGCTTTACTGAGTAAGGTTGCTGACTATTGCTGACTATTGCTGACTACTATAATCTTGTAAATCCTGTTAAATTATTCCAAATGTTAAAGCTAATAGATAAGCAGTACTGTACTTTAACTGTACTTTAAAAGGACTGTACAGTACTGTACTTTAACTTTATCTGTACTTTAAAAGTATCTCAACCTTCTACAGTGCTAAGATTTCATAAATCTCTAACTACTCACCAGAACTGATCGTTTCCTTTCGATGATATAGCAAATGAGTTGGCAAAGCTCTTGGTTTAACCACCATTCTTTGTGGTTTCTCTTTGCCTCGATCATAGCTCTATAAGATTAGCTCTATAAGATTATAAGCTTTAGGCTAGATTCTAAGCTGAAGCTAGATGCTAAGCTGAAGCTAGATTCTAAGCTTTTAACTAGATTCTAAGCTTTCAACTAAATTCTAAGCTTTAAGCTAGATTCTAAGCTTTAAGCTAGATTCTAAGCTTTAAGCTAGATTCTAAGCATTAAGCTAGATTCTAAGCTTTCAACTAGACTCTAAGCTTTAATCTAGATTCTAAGCTTTAAATTAGTTTCTAAGCTTTTAAAAAATCTAATAGATCTTTTAGTCTAATAGATCATCTTAAATATAACCTATTTTCATATCACTGACATATTCTTTAGCGTATTTCATTGCCACATCATACTCGAGACTAGTTGGCTCGGATTCAACACGACGCTCGATGTGCGTCTCGCTGTAGTGATCGTAGAAAGTCGTCAAAGCGAAAGTGGCGTTTTCCTGAACTTTCTTTCGATTTAGTACATTTGAGAAGTAATCGAATATCCAAAGTATCAGCTACAGTAATCTGTCTGTCTGTCTGTCTGTTTGTCTGTCTGTCTGTCTGTCTTTTTCTACTAATTACTCACCGCCGCCAAACTTCGAACCGCCTCAAAATCGCTGTCGAGACTCCTTGTGATAGGTGGAGAGATGTGACGCAAACGGTGAAGGATCTGCTCGACGCGAACAAGCTTCTAAAATTTAGAAACTTTTAGGGACTCTCTCAAAGTCTTAACGTTAACGCAAACTTCAAAGAATGAGCACGCTCCCATTTGGCCACTATGATCGACTGACCAAGAGCTTTGTATCTTAGCTGGAAGGTCAAGGGTTCAATGCTAGATTGGTTCTTTTTCCCTGCGCTTCAAACTCTTAAGCCCACTTTGTTTAAAAGTTTTCCTTTTGTGATGCATATTTTATTATTATATTTCAAATTTTTGTTAATTTCCAGGTAAATGGCAAACGGAAAGCTGCTCACGGATTATGATAAAGGCCAGATTGATGCCCGTTTGAGGATTGGCGACTCAATAAGGAAAATCGCAAAAAAAGCTCGCTGATGAGAAAGGTTAGATTGATGCGCGAGAAGCATTTAGCGTTTTTGAAGATTTGAAGCTTTTTTGTAGATGGGAGGTGAAGCAAACTCAATAAGGAAAATCGCAAAAGATTTGGGGCAAGCGGTGCCGTGCGAAATTATATCAAATCAAAGGCCGTTTCTTCACCAAAGAAGAAGTCAGGACCGAAACCAAAGCTTATGGGTATTTCCCTACATTTAGGGCTTAGGAGTTGAGTGCTAGGGCTTAGAAGGCTTAGGAGTTGAGTGCTAGTGCTTAGAGGGTTTAGGAATTGAGTGCTAGGGCTTAGAGGGCTTAGGAGTTGAGTGCTAGAGCTTAGAAGGCTTAGGAGTTGAGTGCTAGAGCTTACAAGGCTTAGGAGTTGAGTGCTAGGGCTTAGAAGGCTTAGGAGTTGAGTGCTAGAGCTTAGAAGGCTTAGGAGTTGAGTGCTAGAGCTTAGAAGCCTTATGAGGCTTGTTCCCAGTACTCATTTTCACAAACCCGATGATTCCTTCCATCAACCAGCGCCGATTGTATCCGATTCTCTGTCCAATCCCTCATATTGATATGACTTGCTCCTTCTTGTGGATCCGAGAGTCCCAATTGGTTCTTCGTTTTGCTCATCTTAAAGCAAGAATTGTAAGAATTAAATGGCTTGAAACCATTTGCGTGATTTGTCCAAATCTTTTCAACAAGGTCTTCGATCCCGATGTCGAGAACTTCTTGCTTTTCCCTCGATTCAGACTTTTCTCTTTTGGTTTGTAGCGATGGAGACGAGCTCGGATCTCCGGAAGGGTGTCTTCTGAAAAAGGAAAGATTTTTGTTTTAATTTTTGTGGAACTTGTCATCGTAAATTCATTTCATCGTCACTGTTTAAGCCAAAAACCAAGGCTAGTTTACGATTGGCGGCGAGGAATTACTTTCCTTCTTTCTTTATTCTCTTCCCTTGTCTTTCCTTCTTTCTTTCTTCTTCCCCCTTGTCTTTCCTTCTTTCTCTTGCCAAGTTAAGCTACCGGATAGTTCAGTGGTTAGAGCTCCGGAAAGCAAAAGCTGAGGGTTCAATCCCCTCGACCTTTTCTCGTCGATTTACCAGAGGGCAATAGATGTCGTGATGGCCGAGTGGTAGCGGTCTGGATTAGAGACAGAGACCCTAGGGTTCGAGTCCGGGGTTTGACCCTCAATTTTGCTTTTTTCACTTTGAATGGTTTGAGTGTTTTGGCGATGTTGGATTGGCTGTATCGAGAGCTGTATCCAGAACAACGGTGTGCCAGGTGCTGTACGATTGTGAGCGCACATAGGAACACTCAAACCATTCAAACTTAAAAGAAGCAAAAAGAAAAGACAGACACGGGGTTTCTTCGTATTCAAGCTAATTTCCATTCGGCCATCACGACATCTTTTCCCTTCAACTTATATGCTCAAGATTTGTTTTCTTGATAGAAAACTTTGAGCGCTTATAACTTTTGATAGAGTGCTGCGTGACAAAAACGGGAAACCGATTCGGAATCGGCGTGAAATTCTGCGTCGGTTAGGATTAGACGCATGGCATTTGGCCACCACACTTAGCCACCATTTGGCCATGATTTGGCCACCACATCTAGCCACCCTTTGGCCACCATTTAGCCACCACATTTGGCCACCATTTGACCACCATTTGGCCACCACATCTAGCCACTATTTGGCCATCATTTGGCCACCACATCTAGCCACCATTTGGCCATCATTTGGCCACCACATTTGGCCACCATTTGGCCATCATTTAGCCACCACATTTAGCCCCATTTGGCCACCATTTAGCCACCACATTTGGCCACCATTTGGCCATCATTTGGCCACCACATCTAGCCACCATTTGGCCATCATTTGGCCACCACATTTGGCCACCATTTGGCCATCATTTAGCCACCACATTTAGCCCCATTTGGCCACCATTTAGCCACCACATTTGGCCACCATTTGGCCACCATTTAGCCACAACATTTGGCCACCACATTTAGCCCCATTTGGCCACCATTTGGCCACCATTCCCCTGTTAGTCAGAATTGTTGCAAAAGCATTTTTGGATCAAAACCGATTCACCCTGGCTTTGCTGGTTGGCAACTTGGGTACTGAAAATTCTGCAAATACCGTCATTCTCTCGATATCATCTATTCTTTGGATTCTTAAAACTTTAGATAACTTTAGATAACTAGATAACTTTTTCAACACCTGTAGCTGTAAGGTAGAGATCATAAGAAGTTTGGTGTAATGTGTTCGGCTCAGTTCTTTCGACACCGGCGCCCATCTCCAGGAGGAGATCCACGATTTCGTCTTCTCTAAAGAAGATTTGTGCGCTTTTGGAGTTTTGGAGTTTTGGATTCTTTAAATATGACAGAATATAGCTGATGTAATAGCTGAATATAGCTGAATATAGCAGAATATAATAGAATATAGCAGATCTAAACTCTAGCTTAATCACATTGAAAAGCGGATAAAAACAAGTACAAAATTTCAACCCTAATATGTTAAGTGTTATATAAAATATTGAAGCGCTTAATCTTGGCTACATTTATCTCTTTAAAGTTTCCCGATTAAGAATGTACAACTGATTTTACAAGCTCTTGAATTGCACTAGTTGATCCCTCTCTGACACGCTGCCATTTCTTTTGAGATTTTCATTGTAGAAACAGTTTTTTGATAATTATTTTATGATAAAATATTATTTAACACTATTAAGAATTGTTTTTAACCAAAAGAAACTCTTTTTAATTGAAGAATTTAAAGAAAAACACGAAAAATGACAGCGTCCCGGAGAGGGATCAACTAGTGCAGTTCAAGAGCTTGTAAAAACATTTCTACATCTTCAATCGGGGAAACTTTTAAGAGAGAAATGTAGCCAAGGTTGAGCGCTTCAATATTTTATATAACACTTAACATATTAGGGTTGAACCTGGCTAATCATTTGCTAAGGTTTGTTGAAATTTGAATCTATTGCAAATGAAATGGAGGCAAATGGAGGCAAAAAGTGGGACAGAATATTGGGCGAATATTGGACGGATTACGGTAGATTACGGTAGATTATGGTAGCTTAATGGTAATCTGCTCGGATTACGGTAATGGTTACGGTACTCGAAAAGCTGACCTCAAAAAGGCGGCCAACATCAACGCTGAGTACCCATACTTTGTCTCCTGTGCGTCAACATTGTAGCGCATCTCCAACAGTTTGTAAACCTTTAAAATTTGCCTACAATTGCAGCTTAGAAATATTAGAATATTAGAAAGGTTTGCCTATTAGAAAACAGAATTCAAATTGGATAAAAAGTAAAAAAAGGCTGTCGGTGGCGGGACTCGAACCCACCGCTAGAAGCCGCATGGGTTTTGTAGTCTGTTGCACTATCCTCTAGGCCACTGCCGCTCTTTACCCCCCCTCATGTGGCGTGCTCTTATTGGCTGGGGGCGTTTTTTTGAAAATCGTTTTTATGGTCGTTTTCAAATACATTTTTCTCGCCAGGATTTTCATTTAGGCAAAACTGAATACCGTATTTTCTCTAATAGTAGTGCACCACGGCGAGCCGAGTTGGCGACGATTTTACACTTTCTAAGTTTTCCCAGAAGCTCAACACTCAAATCATCGTCAAGATCTCATCGTCAGCTACATTTTCCGACCCCACATCGATAGGTTCTGATAAGCGGTTCTCGAGATTTCGAGGAATTTAGGCGATGCTCAGGGTGCCCTACTATTAGAGAAAATACGGTAACTTTTTTTTTACTTACTCCTTGTGCACTTCCCACCGCAACCGCCCACATCAATGGAGTAATCGCATCCGGCAAATTCGTTGTCTAATTTGAGTTGTCTGATTTCAATTGTCTGATTTCAATTGTCTGATTTCAATTGTCTAATTCCAATTGTCTAATTCTAATTGTCTAATTCCAATTGTCTAATTTCAATTGTCTAATTTCAATTGTCTAATTTCAATTGTCTATTTTCAGTTGTCTAATTTCAATAACTGAGATTTAAATAATGATTTTGAAGATAATTATTAGATAAGTGACTATATCAGATATAAGCTTTTAAGCTTTATAACAAACCTTTGTTTGAAGCGCTTCGGGTAATTGATCGAGCGCATTCTCGCGGAGAAGTTGCCGGAAATCGGTTGGCTGAGCGAGATCTAAGAGAAGGATTAGTTGAAGAGTTTAGTGTTAAATATTTAAAAGAAGCTTGTTCATGGAATAGTGCACTAGTTGAGCTTTGTTATAGAATACCATAGATATTCTCTTGAGATTCTCTTAAGATTCTCTTGAGATTCTCTTAAGATTCTCTTAAGATTCTCTTGAGATTTCACAAGACTTGTAATAGGTTTTACTGAGGTTGACTGTTACTAATACTAAGAAATGGCCGCAAGTTAAGGTGACTTTTTGAATGAGATTTTTTATCCGATAGTTTCCAATGCTGAGCATGAGTCCAGAGCCTGTTCCGGGAATTCCGGCGTAAATTCGCTGACAGTGGTATTCCCAAGGACCCTAACTTGTCAAGTATTATATAAAATATTACCGAAGAATACCGGAAACGCGAGCCAGAATATTTCTATGTAAAATTCCAAAATTTTGACGGAAAAGAGCACTCCGCGGGAATACTTTGTACGGGAAATACTCCAGCGAGTTTCCAGAATACGGGCTCAGATCAATTTAACTTTTTTTAACTTTAACTTTTCTGGAACTGCCCTGTGACGCAAAATATAGACGCAGAAAGACAGGCAGAAAGACAGGCAGAAAGACAGGCAGAAAGACAGACAGAAAGACAGACAGAAAGACAGACAGATACCGTAACACCCCCCCCCCCTCCCTCCCCTCCCCCTCCTAAGCTTCATTTTTGATTCTCTACAACTTTTCCATTGACACCAAAAGGAATGTCGTCTAGGGATGTTGTAGAGATGTTTGAAATCACGTTTTCGGCGGCTGCAAAGGTTTACCGCAAATGGAAAGAAACAGGATCGATAGAACGGAAAATTGGTGGAGGACCACGACCAAAAAGTTCCCCTAAGAACTGCCACTGCTTTGACTTGACATTGACTATTGGCAAAATAGTCAATGACTATTGACAAACGTCTCTTCAAGTCGTTAGACAAGATTTTCTTTGATGGCATCTAAAGAAAAACCATGTATTCAACAAGTGTTTCTAAAGTTATGACCCCTAGAAAGTGGGTGCTTCGGTAAAATAGCTCAAAAATAAATGAGAATAAAAATAAAAGCCAAATTCATGCAGAAATAATGAAAAGAGATAAAAACTGTATAAAATAGTGGAATCAGAGATTCGGCCTAGGTCTGCCAGATAAGGCCAAGGCCAAGGCTTGTACTGTACATGGGTATTCATTGCGTATCCTACTGTAGGTCTCATTCGCGACTTAATCCCATTCACTAGTGAGAAATCCTTCCTATCCTTTCTTCAATATCCTCCAATTTCTCCTTTGACAAACCGTGTCGAATTCGATTTTTGTCGTAAAGATTCAATAGGATCTCCTCTCGTTTCAAATCATCTGCTAACTCGATTGCTGATTTTCCGTTTCGAAATGTTCGCCGAGTTGGATCGGCTCCTGAAATTTGAAATTTTATGCTAAACGTTGAAATTTTATGCTAAGCGTTGAAATTTTATGCTAAACGTTGAAATTTTATGCTAAACGTTGAAATTTTATGCTAAAAAACGTAAAGCACAGATCAGGATTCGAAAAATATTACCCAAATCGAGTAACGCAGACACAATCGTGTTGTAAGAGCTTTCAGGTCGCGAGCAGAGAATCACCGATGTGAGTGCGGTCAAATTGAGCAATGGTGCCAACACCTCATCCACAGGAGCGCCTCTAAAAGATTCTGGATTCTGGATTCTTGATTCTGGATTCTGGATTCTTGATTCTGGATTCTTGATTCTTGATTCTGGAGTCTGGATTCTGGATTCTGGATTCTTGATTCTGGATTCTTGATTCTGGATTCTTGATTCTGGATTCTTGATTCTTGATTCTGGAGTCTGGATTCTGGATTCTGGATTCTTGATTCTGGATTCTTGTTTCTGGATTCTGGATTCTGGATTCTGGATTCTTGATTCTGGATTCTGGATTCTGGATTCTTGATTCTGGGTTCTTGTTTCTTATTTAGTACTAGGATCACAGTACTTTAAGGGTTAAAGTACTTTAAACTTATCGATCTATCTAGTATCTTTATCCAGTACTTTAAACTTATCCATCTATCTTTAAACCCCACCTGGATGTTAGATAGCCGCAAATTTGTGGACTCGACCCAACAGCCGCCACAATCAATGGCGATGGACAGAAAGAGTTTGTGAGCGTCGGTCCGTAGGGTTTTGGCGAGACTTCCAAATGTAAACCGACAAGTTTCTTCACTACATCGAGATGGCCTAAATGAAAATTGTACTTTATAAATTAGATTTAAAGTGATTTCAATGAGAGATGAAATCTCGTTTACCTCCTGCTGTCGCTAGGGTTAAGCCGGTTGCTCCAAGGAAGCTGAAAATCGAGCATTGAAATATACGATGTTTTTACATTGAAAAACACTCGGTTTACTTAATTCTCCTTCCTTTTAGCAGTGCGCTAGAAATGGTGCGTTTCAAGCATAAAGTACACTAGGGGAAAAAGCTTTGTCAAAGTAAGTTAGGTGTCAAAGTATGACATAAACATCTCTAGTACAGGACTCGATCCAATAACCGCCAGAATAGTACTCTCTAGTACAGGACTCGACCCAACAACCGCCAGAATTAATGGCGATCATAAACATAAACAGTTTATGACATGTGTGCTAGAGTTTAGTTTAGTTATAGGTTTACAAAACCTAATGCAGTGAAGAATGTAATGAATGATTGAAATGAATGAAACACTAACAAACACTTACGTGAATTTGTGAATGTCAGCCCCACGTTGCAGTAGAGTTTCGATCACATTTAGACGACCCTCTCGACAAGCGTGATGAAAAGCCGTCATACCCACCTGGAAATAGAATTGAGAACCTTTAATAAAGGATAATAATAATAATAAATAAAGTCTTTCTCTTCTAAAGAAGAGTCTTAAAAGATAAAGAAATAAAATGGCAAAGAATTTTGAACCAAGGAGAATTGAACCCCGGACCCTCCTGCTGACCTTCTGCTTACCAATCAGACGCTCTACCACTGAGCTATCTGCACTTCATTTCGCCGTGAAGAAATAAGAAAGACAAGGAAGAAGGAGAAGAAAAATCAAGGGGGACTGAACCCCGGTCCCTCCCGCTGACCTTCTGCTTACCAGTCAGACACTCTACCACTGAGCTATCGGCACCTGATTTCCTCTTGAAGAAATAAGAAAGAGAAGGAAGAAGGAGAAGGAAACACCCAGGCCTTCAGATGTTAATTGATTTAATGTTTTGAGGAAAAAAGATCTGTTCAAAATCTCACTTGATTACATGAATCAATGCTAGCGCCAATATCGATGAAGGTGGAAACCTAAACATTATCTTTTATCTATTTATCTGTTTATCTGTTTATCTGTTTATCTTTTTGTTTATAACATTCTTAAGCTTAATAACACTTGAACTTTTAAACAAAGCACACAATCTTTGTCACAATCACATTCTATTAGGTTGGCAACTAAATAATGGCCCTCGCCCTTTTTTGATAAAATCTTTTAATCTTTGCGTTTAATCTACCCTCGCTTGTTGTTAATTGAATATTACTGAATTTCTGGTGCATTATTATACGTTTTTTACTTTCCTTGATTTGATACTTTTCAAATAATTTTGTTTAGAAACGGAAGATCTCAAATATCGAATGCGTGTCTGTCTCTGGTACGACTACAAACAAGACAAAACAGCTGCCGAATCCCACAGAGATTTATTACGAGTTTTTGGTGATGAAGCTCTTTCCGAAACACAATGTAAGAGATGGTATCGACGGTTCAAGGAAGGGGATGAAAGTCTTGAAGATGAGCTTCGCCAAGGACGACCCGAACTTCTGCAGAACGATATTTTGGAAGCAGCTTTAAAGGAGGATCCAAGTCAAACATCACGCGAGCTAGGGGATCGATTGGGCTTTTCGCATACTGCAATCGAAAAGCGACTTCATGCATTGGGGAAAAGTAACCGCAGTGGAAAGTGGATTCCGCATAAATTGAGCGAAGAAAATAAGGCTACTCGTGTTATCACAGCTGGAATACTACTAAAACTTGCGAAAAAGGGAAGCTTCTTGGATTCCATTGTCACTTCTGATGAAAAATGGATCTTTTATGATAATCGAACGCGAAAACGACAGTGGCTTAGCACAAACAAAGACCCAAAACCAACTCCGAAGCCGGATATTCACTCAAAGAAAACTCTCCTCTGTGTGTGGTGGAGTTCTCGTGGGTTGGTGCATTTCGAGGTTCTCAAAAGCCGGCAAACGGTTAATTCAGAACTCTATTCGTCTCAACTACATCGTGTAGATCAAGCAATTCGCTCTCAAGGACTCGAACCCTCTTCAATTCATTTTCTCCATGATAACGCAAAACCACACACTGCAAAACTTACAATGGAGAAAATCGAGGAGTTGGGCTGGAATGTTCTTCCTCATGCGCCATACAGCCCGGATATGGGGCCTAGTGATTACTATCTTTTTCGATCGATGCAACACTTTCTAGCCGAGAAAAAGTTCAATGACCTTGACGAAGTCCGAATTTCAGTGCAGAAGTTCTTTGAAGATCAACCAGAAGAATTTTTCAAGAGAGGAATCCAGTTGCTCCGTCAAAAGTGGAAAGAAGTAATAAAGAATGACGGAGAATACCTTTTGGATTGATGTTGATATTTGTTCATCTTGTTAATAAATTTTTTGTTTTTACTGAAAAGGGCCATTATTTAGTTGCCAACCTGATATACAGACTTAATAACAGTCTGTATAGAATGCGTTTACTTTGCGCTTTAATTAAACGCATCGATTAAACGCATCGATTAAACGCATCGATTAAACGCATCGATTAAACGCATCGATTAAACGCGAGTTTATTAAAAGTGACCACTATAAAGACCACAATAAAGGTAAATCTGTAAAGTTTAACTTACATTCTGTGCTTCATTAAGTGGTCATTAAGTGGTCCGCACTTTGTGCTAAACTTTTCTTCCACAACTCTCCATAACTTTCTTCAAAGTAAGCCAATCTTTATGAGCCAATTTTGGTGTCATTTTGTAGATCAAATGAAACCTAAGCCTGTTCTAGAAATCCTCTACAAAGCTCTATCTACTATATACAGTACTGCACATTCAAATCATAAAGATACGCCCACTTCGAAGAAAGTTATGGTGAGTTGTGGAAAAAAGTTTAGCACAAAGTTGTGTTTAGCACAAAGCACCACTTAATGAAGCACAAAAGTGTAAGTTCAAATTTCCGATACTCACCATCCAATTATCCCCAAGAGCAGCAGCTATTTGCAATGGAGTCACAAAATCGTCATCGTGCGAGTCAACCGGTACGCCCAAATCGAGCAACTTTTTCACCTAAAGTCACAAATTTTTGCTTAAAGTAAAGTTAGTATTGATAAAATTGATTGTGGATTAACTATTACGCACTTCATGAAAACATATTCATCGAGGATTGACTCTAAATTCTTTGAAACCTAAGCCTAGTCTAGAAATCCTCTTCAACGCTCTATCTACTATATACAGCACTGGACAATGAAATATGATATTTGAAAAACGATCGTCACTTTCGTGCGTCTGTAACTCTCTTGTCTTTGAGTTTAAACTATTAGTGTTATACATTTTCTGAAAGCTCTTTTCAAGGGCTACATAATGGTAATATTAATATTTAGAAATACGGTAAAGACAAGGGAGTGACAGACGCGCGAAAGTGACGATCGTTTTTCAAATATGATATTTCATTGTATCTCGTAGTCGTCTACGAAATAAAGCCGTTTACAAATGAAATTTTTTCACTAGCCGTTTACGAAATCATTCATAATCGGCTAGTCGTTTAGAATGAAATGTTTAAATGCAAATTTTGCAACATTTTATTAATGATTTGGGATTCATTTTTCTTTTTGTCTTTTTTATTTATTAGATATTCATTCGTTTTCATTCGTTCTTGGTTTTGTATCAAGACTTTAAGAAGCGATGGTAGTTTAGTTGACTACCATGGTCGTAATGGGTAACGGAGGATCAGGGTTTAACTCCGGAGAGGATGCCTGAGAAATGGCAACCACATCTCAAGAAAGGCAGCAGGCTCAAACTGGGACAGCAAATTACCCACTCTCAATTCAAGGAGTGACAACAACTAACGAGACTGCTCCCTCTGGGAACAGTCATCGAAATGGGTACAATTTAAACCCTTTAACGAGGATCAATGAGAGGGCAAGTCTGGTGCCAGCAGCCGGTAATTCCAGTCATCTACTAACGATGACCTAAAGTCGAGCTCAACTTTAGCTTATCGCTAAAGTTGAGTTTTTTGCTTTTTCTGGTTATTCTTTTTTGATTATTGTTAATTATTGATTGTTTTGATTGATTGATAGTAATTGGTTATTGATTTTTGATTTGATGATTAATTTTATGCATACTCATTCGTTTTTTTAGGATTTTTTCAACCAACTTGACGCGTATCAAGTCTTGAAGCAGCGAACTTATCTACGTGTCTACTTACGTAACGTAACGTATCTACTAACGATGACCTAAAGTTGAAGTGGATAAGCTAAAGTTGAGTTAAATGGGCCAAAGTTGAAGTTGGTATCTGTCTTCATTTACGGTATCTGTCTGTCTTTCTGTCTGTCTTTCTGTCTGTCTTTCTGTCTGTCTTTCTGTCTGCCTTTCTGTCTGCCTTACTGTACGGGCATTTTTTCAGCCGTATTTTGACGAATATTTCATTTTGCATGAATATTATATTTTAAGTTGTTTTTGGTGTCATTCGATGCGTAATTTCATTCTTCATCAAATGATCGTTTAAATAGTCAATATATTGGGTTGTGAATTGAAAACTGCGGACTATTGTCATATGTGACAGTTTGAGCACTTTCTTCAAATGAAACCCATTTTGGTGTCAATGGAAATGTTGTAGAGAATCAAAAATTAAGCTTATATCCAAATTTTCAGAACGATTCAAAAACTGGTTTTCAAGAAATGCCAAATTTACGAATTTTCACAAAACTTGCAACAAAATTGGCATTTTAAGCGAAACTACTAAGTGTATCTTTTTGGAAATTTGGCTATAAGCCTAATTTTTGATTCTCTACAACTTTTCTATTGACACCAAAATGGGTTTCTTTTGAAGAAAGTGCTCAAACTGGGACATCTCGACATCTCCAGTCCTCCATTTTTGAGTCTCACACTTGTCTCACACACAAACCAAAATCCTACTACGAAAGAGGAATCCGCAAATTGCCTGTAAAATGGGCAGAAGTCGTCAATAATAATGGAAATTATTTGGAATGAATTGATGGTTTTATGTTGAATAAATTTTAGTTCAAAGTCCGGCAGTTCTCAACTCACCAACCCAATAGATTAAATTTTATTCATTTAACTAACATTTAAGCTCACTCGAAATCATTTTGAACCGGCCAAAAACAATTTTTTTTCTTTGCTTATGATGTCCCTTCTCAAGAGACATCATTTCTTTTCCGTTTTGCATAAATATTTTCAAATCAAAAACACGATAAACTCAGTTGAATAGCATAGATCAAATTGGAATACAAATTTACATTTAAACATTTCATTCGTAAACGACTACGACATATATAAAGCAGAAGAGACGTTTGTCTGTCTGTCTGTCTGTCTGTCTGTCTGTCTGTCTGTCTGTCTGTGCACAAACGTAATTAGCGCGGTGCTCCGTTTACTCTAAAGCTAAAGTATTCAGCTTTTGCGCGCGATATTTTCCTCCCGGGGGTTTTCGGCTATGGGGAATCCGACTTTTAGTTCCTTTTTTAAAAAGGCACGGCTTAACATGGGCTACGGTAATTTTAGTCATTCGAAAGAAAGAAAGCTAACAGGAACGGTTTGGGTGTGTCCGAAGAGAGCTGGGCAATTATAGATTTGTCTTTTGATACGGTAATCCTTCTCAAACCTTCGGATAGTTTCCTTCAGATGTGGCTGTGAGGAGATCAAGTCTTAGCATGTCCTCCTCCTCCATTCCGAGAATCGCCGAGTTGCTGCTCATTCTTCAGCAGAGAAAATGAAGGCTTAAAATTGAAGAGATTGACTAAGAGATTGACTTGACAAAGTCTGTTATCACACTGTAAATAATGGAAATACTGTAATAGTACACCACTTCAATAATGACGGTGAGAAGCGTTGCGTAGTCTAGCTTTGAACGAGTTTTTCTCGATACTGATTTATGCTACAATGCTCGTTTAGGTATCAAAAAATAGCTGAAATTCAGGGCTTTTTTTTTGATACCAAAGACGCATTTTTTGAAAGTGCGGGCGCTTTGAAAAACAATGAAATACTAAAAAACTTTTGCGACTACGCGACTGTACGAGCAGGACACTATTGCAGTATTTACGGTAGTTATCGTAAGCCAACCCATACAATAAGTTTAATCTTATCTTTATAACTAACTGGGATGGGGTACGGTAGACTTGTAACAAAAATATCTGTCGGTTCTTTTTTGTCGTTGGCAATTTCTGGTTTTTCGGGTTTTTCTCAGCACCAGCCTTTTTATTTTGACTATTTTGACTATCATTCAATGCAGAATCAAATTACGCGTCGAATGATACCAAAATTAACTCAAAATGTAATATCCATGCAAAGTTGTTGGCAAAAAACCTAAACTCCGTCCATTATGGGCGGGACTTAACCTTTTGCCGTTGGCAATTTAAGGTTTTTCGCTCAAAAACGAAAACGACTACGGTAGAAATCGTAGTAGAAAGGATTATGGTAGAACTATGCTAAGAAATTTGTAAAGTATCTACCGTAAATACTGTAATAGTGCCCCAGCCCCATAATGACGGTGAGGAGCGTTGCGTAGTCTAGCTTTGAACGAGTTTTTCTCGACACTGATTTATGCTACAATGCACGTTTAGGTATCAAAAAAAGCTAAAAAAGCTAAAATAGCTAAAATAGCTAAATAGCTAAAATTCAGGGCTATTTTTGATATCAAAGACACATTTTTTTCAAACTACCAGCGCTTTGAAAAAAATAAAATACGAAAAAAAATGCGACTACGCGACTGTACACTGTACTTTGCGACTACGCGACCGTCCACGGGAGTGGGGTTACAGGATTTGAAATACCGGTAAATTACAGGTAAATAATAATTGAAATTGAAATCAAACAAACCAGTCAATTGTCTAGTCGGTCATTTTGCGTAGCTTAGTGAAAATTGTGGTGAAATGGGGTAAGACGAAAATTTTAATGGATCTTTTGATGGAAAATTGGTGGGGGAGAATCGATGTGTCTCGGTGTCTCGTTTGTGAGATGAGAGAGTCCGATAATATGATGTAGAAAACAGAGAAATTGATAGTGATGAGTGTGAGTGATCCGATCGAAAAAGAAAGTGATCTGCGCGAAATGGGGGAAACGGGGGAAAAGAAAATGTGCGTGGAATGTGTAGTGACAATCAGCGCATTGTCGGAAAAATTTGCCTTGGTTATAAGCTGAAAAAAAGCTTTCGTTGCATTTATCTCTTGCTCTGCCAATGTACTTTGTGCTCGAAATTGTAAACGCATTCATTTCTTATTGTGGGACATTTTATACGCGCCCCGACCCTTTGCCATTGTCAATCCAAATGTGCTGAATCCGAAAATAAAAGAATTTTTGAAATCCCTTCGACAAATTTTTTAAAAATCGAGTTTTAGTGATTTTACTGTGTTAAATTTCAGCCATATTTTATTGTCGGAGCAAAATTTTGGAAACAAAAGCCTAAAACAAAAATGTAAAACGAAAGTTTTATTCTACGGGCTTTTCTCTATCTTTTGATACCAAAAGCATAAAAATTGATCAACCCTATAAAAAGTTATAACCTTTTGAAAACCTATAAAAGGTCACCCCGCCCCGCCCCTTTCCCATTGTCAATCCAACCTTGAGCTCAAATTTCTTGGTGTTGGGCTGTGCAATTTAAATAGTTTTTGTATCAATCGATAGAGAAAGACTTGACTTATCTAATTATATCAAGAATATATAAATTGGACAGCCCAACACCAAGAAATTCGAGCTTAACGTTAGATTGCCAATGGCAAAAGGGACAGGGCTCCTATCAAATGTCCGATAACCTTAATGTCCGATAACCTTAATGTCAGATAACCTTAATGTCCGATAACCTTAATTTTTCTCGCGTAAACGTAATTCGGTGTGCCAGAAAGGGTGTGTTGACAATTTTGAACGAAAACCTAGCAATCCCTTTTCAGAATTGTCAAAACTTGACCATCTAATGTCAAAACTTGACCACCTAATGTCAAAACTTATCTAAAGCATCAAGTTAGAGCTCTCTTTTCTTTCCCGATACTTGGTAATGAATCATTCTTCGATATTATCTGATTGTCCCGAGAAAGTTGCGCAAATTTTTAGAAAACGAGGTCTTTAGGCAACTTTTGAAATTGCGTACGTATAAATTTATCAATAAAATAAGTATAAGTAAGTATAAATAAGTAAATAATATATAAATAGGGGGTGGGACAAATGCGACCTTTTTTTTGCGCACCTGGACATTTGTGCACCTTTTTTTGCTGGAAAAGGCCTTAGGAAAGGTCGTAGAGCTTCAAAAATGTTTCCATATAAGGGAATCGTATGCGTAGATTCCGAATTTCGACAAATCAGACCTCGCTGACACGTCAAATTTGGGCTAAAAGGCGAAAACTACGCAACTTAACGCTTTTCCGCAGTTTTCTCCTTTTAGCCCAAATTTGACGTGTCAGCGAGGTCTGATTTGTCGAAATTCGGAATCTACACATACGATTCCCCTCCATGAAAACATTTTTGAAGCTCTACGGCCTTGCCTAAGGCATTTTCCAGCAAAAAAAAGGTGCGCAAATGTCCAGGTGCGCAAAAAAAGGTCGCATTTGTCCCACCCCCATATAAATAAATACAAATTCATAAACTGCAAAAGTCTCTTGGATACTTGCGAGGTTAGAAGGCAACTTTTTTTCTTCAAAATTGCTTTTTCTAGGGCAGTTTTTTTCGCGTAGATTACGAATTTCATAGTGGAAGCTTGGAGAAATGCGTTTTAGAACGGCTTTTAAAGGCTTCAAGTCGCCATCGCTATAGTGTACTATAGCGATCTCACTGCTCACATGATCTCACATGTTCCTACAAGAAGAGCTCAAAAGAAGCTTAATGAGCCTTTTCCTGTCCAAAAAAAAGACTTTTTCTGAAATAATTTAGAGTCCTGAAATAATTTAGAGTCCAATTCTAACCAAATTTGAGTAGAAAATTTGAAAATAAAAATTTGAAAAATTTTTTTGTAGTAAAAGTTTTCGAAATTTTCACCCATTAAAGTTAGTGCAGAATAGAAAATAGATTATGGTAAGAAAGTACGACAAATAATTGCAAAAGTGGAATGTTCAGCTTATCTGTGTTTCGATTTGGCACTAATTTGATCGCTAACTATAAGCAAGTTCACTTTACACCAGCTCTACACCACCACCACATCCCTAAAACCTAAAGCACTAAAGAAACTGGACCCTAATCCACGGTCATTCTACCGTAACCCGCACTAATGTTTGCCCGGGAAAAGGCCGCGTTTAGGCTCATTCGGTCATAAAAGGGTTAAAGGGCGAATCAATTATGAAAGGGTTGAATTTTATCTCGCGTTATAACAAGAAACTTTAAATGGCTCGACCACATCTGTTTAGGCTGTTTAATCTGTTTAATCTGTTTCAATCACATCTGTTTAAATGGCTAGATCACATCTGAAAAAAGAACAAAAAAACCGACTCGTATTTGCCGTTTTTAGTTTTTTTTTCTAAGCTAGCAATAAAGAATCATTCTAGGGAAAATTTTATCTTTTTGTCTTTCCCATTTTCCTTCTGACGGATCTACTCCAGTATCTTCATTTTTCCATTATGCTTTTCACTACTTTTCTGTTTTACATGATTATTTAAATTTTCTTTCTAATGTTAACTAGTTTAGGCTACTTTTTATCTACTCCAACAGAAAAAAAGTGTAGAAACAGGGGACACCTCTCGTACCTCTCTTTCCCCCACTAGTTTTACTAACTTTTACTACAAAATCTTGTGGGACATACTAACTTTTAGGATAAATATCTATTAAAATAGTAAATCCCACTACATTTTTATTAAATTCTAGTCTACTCTAGTCGGTTGAACACTAAATTTTCGTAATTGCAAGCAGAAAAAGAGAAAACGAGGTGTATGTCTCACTTTTTTCCTGTTAAAGTAGATAAAAAGTAGCCTAAACTAGTTAACATTAGAAAAAATGGAAAATTAAGAATGAAACTAAAAAAAACATAAAAAAAGATAGAAAAATTGCCCCCTTCCCCGATACTGGAGTTTAGTTGATCCCTTCTAACTTTCAATTTTTACAGTTTATTTATTTAGATCATGTTCTATGCACAATTCGTGCTCGCAAAGAAGGGCCCGTTGGCGAAAATCTGGTTGGCGGCACATTGGGAAAAGAAGCTGACGAAAGCGCAAATCTACGAAACCGATGTCGAGGAGGCTGTTGACGAAATACTCAAGCCAAAGGTTCGTATTTTATTGTAAGACTTGAGTAAACGGTTTCCAAGTGATAATTTGCAGCAGTAAATTGGTTACATGCCTGGAACCAAAGGGTTAACTTTGTTTTAATTAAGATTTGTTTGAGATGGTGGACTTTTCACCTTTTTAATGCATAACCTATTTTGCGAGCAAAGCGTTTTAATACTAAAAATCCAAAGAAGTGTACCTTATACTTGGAAACGATGCAACATATAAAAACCTAACACTTCTTTAACTTTTATTATACATTAAGGGGATATTTTTATCTGTCAACCAAAACTTATTTACCTACTTTAGGTGAAAATTGCTCTACGAACCACAGGTCATTTGTTGTTGGGCATTGTGAGGATCTACTCGAGGAAAACCAAATACCTACTCGCTGATTGCAACGAAACGTTTCTTCGACTTCGGATGACATTCCGACCCGGACAATCGGTTGAGACGGTTGTAATCGATAAGGAACAAGAGATTCATCTAGAAGCCATCACTTTGCCAGAGGTTTGAGCTAGAACTCTTTGGAAGTACTTAGCAAACATTGTTATATTTGTTCTTCAAATATCTGATTATTCAGGTATACGCAAATCTTGATGCGGCGATTCCCGAGCTAGACGACTTGGATTTCCAAACTCAATTTGACACAAACCAGGTTCTTGCGAATTGTTGTTAGTATTAATTAATTTTAGAGCCGTTATGAAGAAATTACACTTAACGAGATTTACGACAAGGCACATCAAACTGCATTTGGAGCTGATTTTGGGGTAAATTCACGAAGTCATTCATTAAATGTAACTCCTATTTGTAGATGGACGATTTTGGCGAATCTCAGCTTCAAAGAGGACCGCTCTTCAACATCGATGAGCCATTGTTTGGTGGATCTCTTTTGGAACAACGTCGTGATGAAAGTGGTCGCTTGATCAATGCTTCAAGGTTATATTTTAGCATTTGCAATTGAATTTTAAATGATTTAGAAACCTTAACAATACTTCTGAACTCTATGATGGTCAACCCAAAAATGTGAACATTTTCGGAGCGGAAGATTTTGAGATGCAAACAGCTGACGGGAATCTCTTAAATCTTGATGCACCAGGTCTTAATCGAGACATTTTTTTATGAATTGGTTTATTACAGGCAGTCTCTTCAATGACTTGGAACCAATGGACTTCGGAATGCCGGAAAATCAAGTACAACATGAGCTAACGCCACTCAGAGAGCCTGCCAGTAAGTTTCACACATTGAAAACTATTCAGTTATTGGATTCATTGCAAAGATATAACAAAACTTTTTTAGATGAGAACGACGTATCGACTAGATCTTCTTTCGAATTGGGGCCCGTTGACGTGGATGAACTGGCTAATCAACAACAAGGACGCAATCGACGTCGTCGCAAGCTCGTTGTTGATCAAAACATCAAAATGAGGTCTTACATTTTTTTTGGTCTTTTAAAAGCTAAAGTTTTAGTGACGCTGATCTTAAGAAAAATATGGATCATTTTACGGATACATTGAAGCCAATGGATTTGGCTCCGCCATCAAGTGCGTTACGATTATTGCTGCCTGATACACGAGCTTATTTTTAGAGCGACTTATGCAGTTGCGTGAATATGGAAATGCGGATCTCCTCTTCCAACAGCCTGCCTCGGATATGATGCGCTCGAGCGTTTTGAAGAGGGTTGGTTCTAGTTTGGCTTGTTAAAAACGAATTTTTTAGCGTTACCAAGAGCACTTGATTCCACGAATTCGCGATGACCAAAGTACTCGATCGACGGGACTCGAAATCAGGGAAGAGCTTGAAATGGCCGAGGATATTGAACAACAACGGGATGTTACACCAGCTATGCAGGTATATATTTATTACAAAGCTTCAGTCTTGTAAAAAACAAGACCTCTTTAATTAAAACCTCGTGGTCAATTTTTATCAAAAATTGTAGTGATTGTTCAGTAAACTAATGTACTCGTTTAGTCCTTCCTCGACAACTTGAACACGACGGACTTGGATATGCCCGCTCCACCACCCGAGCCCTTCACATCATTCAACGAAATGCCAATCGATATGCTGGACATAGATCAAGAGAACAATCCTTTTGGCCCCGAGTTTGGACAACAGCCAAGAAATTCCGAAATCGACCGTGACATCTTGGGCGACATTTCCAACGTTCCGGAGCCTAAGCGTGCCAAGACGGAGGAGGTTGTGTTTTTTGACATAACATATGTATTTTTGCTTTAGCCTGAAAATAACGACACAAATGAAGTCAGTTTCACGAAGAGAACGAATATGCTTCTTCACGCAATTGTCACCAAATTGGACTCAAATGTGGAAGGATACGTGAAACTGGACGCCGTGGTTGCCACAAATGCGACGAAGAAAGAAGCCGCTCGTAGCTTCTACGAGCTCCTCGTGCTCAAGAAGTTCCAAGCTGTGGATATCAAACAGGTAAGCTTTAGAAATTTGGTACTGGCCACGAGTGCGGGATACATGGTACAAGAAACTTTAAGATCATCAAGTTACTTGTGTTTTTTTATAATAGCTTTAACTATTTTTAATCTCAGGACGAGCCTTACGGTGCAATTCGAATCATGAAAGGCAATCACATCAATTCGTTTTCGGAGCACCAAATTCATTAACATTTTTGAGTGTTTTTCTGTTTGTACCAATTTCTTTTGCGTGTGTTGCACATTGTGTTTCTGACTACAGTTGATTGATCCCTTAACCACTTTTTAGTAACTTGATCCTTTGATTTGTGACATTCATTTTCTTGTCTGCAAGTGGAAATCACTTTTACTCTCATTATTTTGAATTTTTATTGTAAACGGTTTTATTCGTTCAAGTTTCGTTCCGTAACTTATTTTTTAATCGATCTCATCTGTTTTAAACTTAATAAATCTTTCACAAGTTGCTTAAAAAACAAGCTGGGTCAATTCCCTAAGTTATTGAAGGAATTTTTAACAGACTAACATTTTTGCATGGGCTTGCAAAAGTCCTCGTAAAAATCTCGCGCCCACCATATCACCACTTTTATTTTGTGGATATTTGCAGAAAATGTTTCTGAATGGACAGATTAGTAGAGTTATTACCCAATGTGTAGGTGTTTCTTAGGTTTTTCTTATTAGTTTTGATTTGAAGCTTTTTCATACAAGTGAAATACTTTTCAATTTAGCTTTTCTTCTTCTTCTCGTTGGGCAAAGAATTTGAAAATGGGTAAGTGGTGGTTTGTTTTCTTTTCGAAACTTTATCTTTAGTTGATGTGCCTCGTAATTTCCGACTTCTCGAAGAACTCGAGGATGGACAAAAAGGCAAAGGAGATGGGAATATTTCGTGGGGTCTTGAGGATGATTCCGATATGACTCTTTCGAGGTGGACCGGCACTATTATTGGGCCGAGCAGGGTTGGTTTTTAAACATTAAATCTATATTTTATCAACAGGGTATGCTAGTCGAGATAAACGAAGTTCTTGATTTAAAAAATGAAAGAATCATCCAATTTTATTTTTTAGACTCCATTTGAATCTCGTATTTACAACTTGCGAATCGAATGCGGACCAAATTACCCAAAGGATCCACCAACGGTGCGATTCACCACGAAAATTCACATGAATGGCGTCAGTCAGTCGAATGGAGTTGTGAGTTTTAAAATATTTAAATTTAAACTTGAACTTTGTGAGACAATAGTGATTAACATGATCTAGATTTGGGATTTTTGAGCCAAATTCTCCATAGGCTGCTTTAGATCGATCGCCGGCAATTGAACTCGTTGCGCAGCTGGAATCAAAATTTGTACATCAAGAGTGTGCTTGAGGATATTCGCAAAAACATGATGACAGCCAAGGAAAACATGAAGCTTGCTCAACCGCCAGAGGGTGCCACCTATTAGGCGCGTCTCTAGACACACTCAATAACATTCGGTTCCTTCACTATTTTCAAGTTTTGGTCCTTAACATTTTTCTCTTATCTGTGCTGCACTATCTGGTTTCTCTTAGTTGATTTCTTATGGTATCTTTCAAAAACCCACATTTTGTAGAAAACCTGTTAGAATATCTTTTATGTAATCCTACATTGAAGTTGACGTGTAATTTTTTAAATGATGTCCTTTATGGTGGTTTAATTGTTGTTCATTCGTCGAGTCAAGTTAGAGTTCATTATTTCAATAATGGAACGACAATTATTATTTACATCATCATTTTTGTTTAATTTGCACTGTTTTTTCCTCATTTATCGTTTGGCCGGTCAACTTGCTAAGTCATTTCTTGGCTAACATCATAACGGCGAGCTTTTGATCTTGTACCCTATTCCTAAACTTTTAGTACTTATGCTGATCCAAGCCATAGATAACTTTTTCTAGTCCCAAATTCTGACGTGTATTATACTCACATTAAAATTCTAAGCAGATTCTCACAGGTAAACTACAATGGTTACGCTATGGCTTGGTGACAGCAAAAGTACCAAATTTTCGTTTCGCGCAAACTCATTTGTCTTTTGAATGAATGGGTCTACAAATCGATTGCTCCCCACCCAGTTATGTCCGTTTCATTATTTTGTCCAGAATGATTGCTGACTTATTCCGACTTCCTAATTTTGGATAGTACACGGTTTTATGTCTTTTGAAATAAATATATCTTTACGAATTGCATTTAATTTATATGTTTTGCAAACGGGAGAATACCTTGAAACTTTTTGTAAAAAGAACAGTTTTTTATATTGTGTCGAATGAAATTTTAAGATGGCAGGGGAAGAGGAGGATCAATGTGAGCCATCGACATCAAAGCAAGCAGAAAGCAGAGCTTCCGAAGAAAATGGCAGAGCTATGGATCCATTAGCATTTGGTTGGTAGAGTGAAAAAAATGAGAATATTAATTTTCTTATATGTTTTAAAGCTTTTTGTGCGATTTGAATTATAATAAACCCGATCGGCAAAAATTTCTTGGAAGAGCTTTTTCTTTTTAGAGCTTTGCGTCTTGATCGAACGACATCTCAGCGCTGGCCCATTTCGGAAAGTTGGTGCGCATTTGAGGCAGGAATTGGATAGGTAAACATTAACATTTTTATGGTGCTATATCAAATTTAGACACGCACTAGTGCCCAGAACGATCGATTATCTCGGCGAGTCTCATCCGACGACATATAAATCCTTTGTGGGGTTTTTCTTGACTATAAAACATAAATAGCATTTTAGATTGGTAAAATTCACCCAAGCAATCTTTCATCATTGGATGGGATCATTAAGCGTCTCGCTGATTTGAATAGCAAAGAGGTTCCTCAATCCCTTGCGGGCTTGCCACGGAGATTATTGTTGACGAAAAGAAATGCTATTGATCGAACTCCTGGTATTGTGGAAAAGTTTATACTTACAACAAGGCTTTTATTAAGAATCTATCAATGAAAAACAGCTTTTACGAGGTGCCTTTGGACCGTGTCTAACAATCAAACCTTCAGCTGGAAATTGCTTTACGAAGTTTTTTTGCTGATATGTAAACTTTGATTTTCAAATTTAGAATGATACGTGCACGAGAACTTGGCGGAAACGTTACACCACGGCATCTTATTCCACCGGGTAGAGTTATATCAATGTCACAGCAGTTTCGTGTCACTGGCCACTTTGATCCCATCTATTGTGTGCTCATTGATCGCACTGGACAATACATTCTAACGGTAATTTTTCATGGATGACTTTAATAAAAATAGGAAGAACCTTCTTTTTTTATCCCTTAGAGTTTGTAGATTTTAAAGTCCTGTAATTGGAAACAAAATATTTCATCCAAATTTTAGGGCGCGGATGATAGCCTTATTAAAGTGTGGGATCTTCGACGAGGAACGTTGCGCTATACATTTCGTGGACATGAGAGCCAAATTTCTGATATGACGATTTCGACATGCAATTCCTATTTGATCACAGCCAGCGTTGATAAAAGTGTTCGGTAAAGAGATTTTTATTTTAGCATTATTCATTTTGTTTTAGAGTTTGGAATCTCCAGAATGGCGCTTGCATCAAGACTTATCGAGCACATACAGCCCAAATATCTTCGGTAAAGGTAATATTTCTATATCGCGTATAATTAACATGATTAAAAATCAAATTTAGTGGCTACCATTCAGCAAAGGATCAACACGTTGGCTCATTACAACCTCATGGGATTGTTCAATTTGTTTTTATCGTTACGATTGCAAGGAGAAAGAATTTAGGTAGGCATTAATTAGGTGAGAAATGCTTTAAATAAAATAATCATAAAAGAAACTTAGTCCAAGAAAGCATTAACTTTTAGTGACAATGTGGTTTCGATCTACGAACGAGATGCTCCTGGAATGCGCCTGTGCACTTCAACACATTCTCCAGGTTTTATGATAAAGAATGGGAATTTACGAGTTTTTAAGGTGGCGGTTTGATTGCTGTTGGAGATTCTCAACAAAGAGTTCGTCTATTTTCCGTCGATGAGAAAGGGCCGCAAAAACTACAAGAACTTGAGGGTCATACGGTTGATTAATACAAAAAATTTTTCTTACCGTTTTTGTTTTGCTTTAGGATCGAGTCGACAGCCTTGTATGGGCCCATTCGGGCGTTCGCTTAGCATCCGGTTCTCCGGATGGAACGGCAAGAGTTTGGACGGTGAGATGTGGAAAATGGAGACACGTAACGTTGAAGCTCGATAAGTGAGATGCAACTGTTGTTTTGGTATAACTCTTATTGCGTTTAGAAGTGATCAGACATTGACTGCTCAATCCATCGACACGAGAAAAATCTCAAAGTACAAGGTTAGTGCAACTCGAATCGTCAATTGTGGAAAAAATGCTTCAGATATTGATGCTTTGTTGGGCTTCTGATGATTCGCGACTTATTACAGCTGGCAATGATAGCGTTTTCAGAGTATGGGACCCGAAGAATGGTAGTGTTTGGGAAATTTCAGATAAATATTAATTACGCTTTAGGCTCACTGATGCATCGACTTGTCGGTAATGGTGTGAGCTATGTTCTCGTCCCGCATTCCATCAACCCGAACTTACTTTTTACTGCTAGCCACGATGGGAAGTTAATGGTTTGTAAAAAAATTTGGTTAATAAATGGAAAAATTTAGCTCTGGGATATATTTGCTGGAAAATTACGCAAACATTGGGACAATACGCTTGAAACTGGCGGTTGTTCTCCACTTTTTGATTTAGCTCTTTCTGAAGATGGCACCTCCTTGGCTGTGGTAAGTTTTTAGCAAAATTATAAAAGTTAACTTTGAAAGTCACTCGATTCGGCATTTTTCTTACTCAAATTTTAGGTTGATGCCAATGGTCGACTAACGCTTTTTGGCATGGGCATGGCCATGGGCAGCAATCGAATGGTCAAACTCCCTCGAACGCAAATGTTTGATACTGATCTTACGTATGTGCAGTTAAAGTAAAATGCAAAACAATAATTTTGGGCCCTTGACCTACGATGCACTTGGTTTCCCGTACGATCATCGAACCGGAATACCACCACATCTTCTCCCGCCGCCACGCCTTATGCAAACGGATTTTGTGATCTCCGAAGAAATGCACCGACTAATTGTTCCAGGTCGCGACGTTGACAATGTGGTTGGTTTACTGTTTCCTTTCTTTACCATTTCTTTTTAGCGTGAAGAGGAATTACAATGTGCCTGGACCCATCGTAAAATCATTCCGGAACTATCTTTTGATCAGCTAGCGATGGAGGAACAACGTCTTCGACAGGTTTTTTATTTCTTTGAATCAAATGTGAACGAAGCCTTTTAGATTTACACTGGTGAAATAAACTTTTTTGAGCAAGAAATTTCAAAGGAAGATCAAGATGCTGAGGAAGAAAAAGAACCACAGCCTCAGATACAGCGCACACGTATGCTTTTGATTATTGTGCTTGTATCTATTGTTGTTTTTAGATCGTCCTCCGGAGCAACGACGCACAAACCTTGCCGCTACTTTGGATCGAATTGCAACCGCTGCTCAAGAAGAAGAAAGGCTGAGGAGAGAAGCGCGTATAGCACAAAGAACTGAACGGCGGATGAGAAGACTTCGACAAGGACATCTGTCACCGATACCGTTATCACAAGCCGTTGAAGGGGATAATTCATTCGAAAGGTGGGTCGTTGAGCGTTCCGGGTAGTCAAGCAAGCCAATCTCCATAACATGTAAGATTGGATTGCTTTATTAATTCAGTTACGTTGATGTTTTTAGGAACGCTGGATCGGGAAGCGAAAATGAAAATAACAGTGATGAGTCAACAAGTGGATCGGATGTTGATGATGAAGAAGAGACGAGTGATTCCGATTTTTCTGTGGGGCCTCGGCGGGAAAATGAAGAGCGAACACGTCGACGATACAATAAAGAAGTGATGTTGTGAACAACTTTTTCTATTTCCAAACATTTAGACTGCAACGTCCAGTCAAGAGCCAGAATTGAATCCACGAAGGACTAAACGGCAAGAAGATATGTTGCGAAAGAAGGAAGAACGTCGAAAACGGCGAGAGGTGTCTTAATTATTAGTAAATCTGGTATTGAGCCCATCTTTAAACCAAACTTTAAGGAGGAAGAAAATAACCCGCAAAGTGTCCCGGGCCCATCTAGACGGCAGAGACGTTATAATCGCCACAATTCGACCATTGAATCTATTGCTGAAGAAACTGGAGCGAATATGTCTGAAAGAGGTTGAGAGTTCTCTTTTTTGAAAATATTTTTAATTTAGTGCTGTCCGACTTGGATTGGGAGTACCGTTTTCCGGATCACTACAAACGTGTTACTCCGGCTCGGTTTCCCTACTTCGCGCAGCCTGGAGATCTTGTAGTTTATTTCAAACAAGTGAGGAAAATTTATTAGTTTTATAGTGTTCATTTTCAGGGACATGAAGCTTACTTGAAACAATTGAGCATAGTGGATATTTATGATCCGACTCGGAATATGCTAGTTTGGTATGTTGTTTATGGTAGTTGCTTTCTTAAACTCCAAATTTAGCGATGGTCTTGACGCTGAGGAGTTCTGCATCGTGACACATGTTTCATACACCATGAAACCGTACCGACTTGTCGTTGTCAATCTGGCTCGAGTCGATCGCCGAACAAATGTGCCAACCGGAAAAGTTTGGGCTGTTAAGTAAGCCACTCCAAGAGATTTCAAACAAAATTTTATTTTAAAGATTTCACGACTTGGACAATGTAGCGGATTTTATCGTCTTGCGACAGTTTTATGATGAAAGCATGGAACACCGCTTTGACGTTGGGGACCAGATTGAGGTATGAATTGAGCACTTGGCCAAGTGAAATTGATTTAGGCTGTCTTGGATTCGCAATGGTGGACGGGTGTAATCAAATCGCGACAACCCAAGGACCCAGAGTTACCCAGGCACGGCTAGTCTTTATTGGGCTTGATTGATTACTATACGTTTAGTTCACACTGGTATTGTTTACACGTGGCATGGGATTCTGGAGAAGAAGAGCCACTTTCACCTTGGGACATGCAACCGAAGACGCAAAATAGACGCTCAGGTACAAGTATTCTTGAGTGCCAATATTTTAGCGATTCCTTAGAAAGTGTTGTATCAGAGGAAGAGCATTTAACACTGGCCCACTATGTACTTCAACGTGGAGATTGGCCATCAAATAACAGAGATCCTGATGCTAGATCGAACTTTGAGGATGATCGCGATGCTGCTACTCGATTGTTACAGAGAGCGATTGCTTGGTGTGTACATTTTATTTAAATGAATGTATTTTTCTATCGTGAAATTAATTTGCCATTTCAGGCTGATTGGCCAACAAGATTTCGTGGCCTTCATTGAACCGGTTTCATTGACCGACTACGAAGATTACCCACTAGCGGTTGCTTATCCTTCTGACCTGGGAACAATCACGGAACGTTTAATCAACAAGTTCTATAGGTATTTATTTTTTTTATATGAAAATATAAACTTTTTAGGCGCTTGGCCGCATTTCAATTAGATGTCTGTCAGATTTGCAAGGCTGCCGAATCTTACAACGATCCCACCATGCCAATTGTCAAGAATGCAAAAATTCTGGCAGCAGCCTTGATTGATTTGAGCAAGTAAGGGATTTTGTTGCGCAATCTTTCGTAGGTATATTTTAGAAATATCTTCGACACAAGTATTGAAAATAGTCTCGACAAAGTGAAAGAAATGACCATTGGAGAGCTGAACACGATGCTCAAAGAATATCTTCGGCGTCCCTCGAGAAACAAACAAAATCGCGGATATGAAAGTAAATTTTGAATCTAAAAATGTTTTCAAGGAGTTATCTAGTGATGAATGTTGAACTAACAAAACCCGGATGGAAAACGGATATTGCAAAAGGATTGAAGGAAATCTGCAGGGACAAATGTGCGAGACATTTTCTGAATCGGGAGAATCCGACAACTGTGAGTAATTCTTTGTAATTGAGTCATTCTCAAAGTAATTTTAGGAAATGCACGCAATCTGGTCAAGATGTGATCCGGAAGTGCGTTCATTAGAAGAAATTATTGATTCGATTGAAGATGAATCGATTGAATCTCCAAACATGGTGCTCGACAAGATAGTAAATATGATTGCAGAAATCGACCAAACAGACGACGATCGACGTAGCGAGGTAAAAAAAATTCAATTGCTTTTGTTTAATCGTGTTTAGATTTATCGTAATGGTCTTCTGTTGAAGCAAAAAGTGGAGGAAAAGATCCTCCCCATCATCAAACAGGTTAAAGAAGTAAGTCACTGCCTTAGCACTTTGTTGGAGTTTAAATTGCTCGCCTTGTTAATTGCCGTTTAATATCACTTTCATTTTAGCTGGAAGAAAAGGCAAAATCACTCCTCAACCTTGATGCAGTTCGCGAGTTACGAGAAACGAAGCGTAATCACAAACTTCATGCTTATGACACAAGACATCGTGATGATTTAAAGTTTTTGTCGACTAAAGATACATCTTGTAAGTAGCTGTTTTAGATCAAATATGCCATCCACTTCAAAAGCAGTTTGTGACTACAGTGATGAGGAGTTTTCCAATCGTATGTTGCTTGTGTTAGCCCATTTAATTCCTATTTTAGTGAGAAAAACAAGAGCGCTCAGAAGACAGAAGAGAAGTGAAACGGTGGAGGTGAAGAGTTCTGTTGTGCTATTATAAAAATTCATTTTTTAGGAACTCGAAGAATCCGACGATGCAATGGGACAAGGTACCTCTCAGGCATCCGCAAAGTGAGTAGATTTTGCAAAAAAAATAGAATATTTAGAGATTTCTCAGATATTAAGTCAAAGCTTCAATTGAATATTTCAAGAAGCATGAGTAAACATTTAATTATAGACTATCTAAATTCTTTACACGTTACATAAATGTTTAGATACGAGGATGAATCTGAAGAAGAAATAATTCCTAGAACACGGAAACGAACGCAGGGGGGAAGGGTTGTTAAAGAACTAGTAAGTAATTGGCAATCCGATGATTTCATAGAGTGAAATTCAGGACAATCTCGCTGATTTGGATGCTTCAACCAGTGAACTGGGTGAAGATCGCAGATCGAGACGTGACAGAAGAGCTCAATCAACTACCGCCCCTCAACCACAACACCTCATTGTTGAGACGACAATAGGAAACGGTCGGCCAAGTCGGCGTTGCTCAACTCGCACCGGTGGAGCTATGTAAGTGTTTTATCTTCTAGTAGGCACAAAGTTAGGGCTTTAGACCTGAAAAAGAGATTCTTTAGAGAGATCTATATAATTGCCTATTTCTTGATTATGTTTAAATTCTTTGGCTGTAGTAGGAAATGTATTTAAACAAACAAAGTTTTTCATTTAGGAAGCGTACCAGAGATGACTCTAGCGATGACCACTATGGTTCTCCCAAGAGAAACGCCGCACGTCGTAAACCTGTGAGCTACGCCGAGGATAGTGATGACGAAGATGAGCCAACGGTTTATTTACAAACGGTTACATTCAATCACAAGATGTCTTGAAAAAAGATGGATAACTCATTAACAACAACCCGACGACTATAAAAAGATTTGTTGACTAAAAACTTCGAAAAGCAAGTGGAGTTATCCTTTTTTAATTAGGTCATCCCGCAATTGCTTGACAAACTTTCACAACCTCTATTATTTGACTACTTTAGGAGTCGATCTCACAGCGTGGACGAGTGCGAAAGGTCCGCAAATTCGACTAAACTAGGTATAAGATTTTCTATGTTTATCTCTTTTTCTCAATTTATGTGCTGTTATGAAATTTTATGTTATAAAAACCTACAAATAAGATCCTGAATTTCTGATTTGCTTATTCTAACTAAATTGGTAGTGCACTTGAGTGTACAATGTTTTTTTTCTAGTTTTTGTCATATCATCTACCTGCGCACTTTTCTTTTCTTCCTCTAAATGGTCTCACTTTTGACGTGTGCCTTTTATTTGTCAAAAAACTCTTAAGGGAATCTCCTTTTGTCTCTTATTTTCTCGTTCAAATGACTCAATTCAATCTCTACCTTTTTATATTCGCGGGTGATCTTATCTATTTGATTTTGTTATTCTAAATAAAATCCAAAAAATAACGAATTGGTTTATTCTGATTGGCGTTCGTACTCCCGTCGGGCGTTCACCTCTCCACATTCGAGAATCGTCACGAGTCGATCGTTCTCGATGAAACGAGTGATCGTCGAGTCTTTGTCACTTGGCTGAAATGAGATTTTTTTCAACAATAGCTCAAAACCGATTTTGGCATTGCGAACGAATGACTCAACTGGGAATGACACTGACTGGATTAACCCGATAGGGATTAATTCAGTCAAAGAAATGAAATTCAAAGCTGTCAAACCTTAAGTTCGCACTTATCGGATTCTTGGCTCGTAGAATTTGGCTATATTTGACTACACTGAAAATCTTCGACTTGCACCCACATTGATCGCTTTCTGTCTCTGCACGACTTTCCCGTCCTCCAGCGTGCACGTCGTGTTGAATTTGCGGCCGTCCGGCGTCGTCTCGACGAATTCCTATGTACGTGATTCATTCCAAAGTCATGCTTTTCTCGAATCAAACCTCATCGAGGGTGAAATTCAACTCGGTTGTGTTGAAAGCGGACTCTTGTCGGCATTGATATCGATTTCCCTGGGATTTAAATTTAAATCTCAAAAACATTTGATTTTTTTTTGTTTGATACATCGACTTTGATTACTAAAGTCACTTGCACGTTCGCTGCGATCATCCGCACGAAGATCGGCACACCGACTGCCTGAAATTGATAGTCAAAAATAGTTATTTTTCTCCTAGTTACCGCATCCGATAAATGTCACTTGCATTTCATTTCAGGTAACTAACATCAGCCAGCATAGGATAATCAATCCCAGTGGCGCCAGTGCAAGCGTGTAACCTTAAAACTAGAACCAACCGCCATGTAATCGTCGAATCTCTCGGAAGAAACGCACTTCCATCGGCCGTCGATCGCCTGCTGAGTCATGATGGGGAAAATTAATTCAAATATACGATAAAATTACGGGGTAAGCCTAGACTTATTTGGCTACACGCCGCGCACACTCAATACTTCCAGTTCAAGGTCAAGTTGACAGGGGAAATGTTTGATTGCGATCTTCGCCTGCATCCGTCTTCAGTTTATGCGTTGAGAAAGGCTTTTTATCGAACTAGAAATATTTATGCAAGGCTACTATTTACAACATCGAAAATCACAAATTATCGGCAAAACAAAAACAAACGTTTCCGAGAAAAATCAATATCCATCATTCGACCAGGTGATCTCGTAGTCGGAAAATTGTGACTTGAGAATGTCGACCGCTAATTGGTGATCTCCGCGTCCAAATCCCTAAAATTAAATCAATATTGGTATTCTAACAAACTTTCAGGCTAGACATAATAAACCTAAACACCTACTTGTGAATAACCGTAGACGAATAACGTCTTCGCTTTCGGATCATGTTTTATCCTGCCACCACCCGGACATTCCAGTTTGAAATCCTAAAACTAGGATAAAAAGGTTATTCAATTTAAAAAAACCTGACTAGTTTTAGCGCGGGTTTGGTCAAAAATATCGGCATGATATGGGCATCTCTTGTAACCACGAACAATGTATTTTTCCTGTTTCGTCGACTTCTCGATTACTTAAACAATAGTGTTTTAAATGTTAAAACGTTGCTACTTATTTTTCAATATTACGTAATAGTTAAGAGTTTTGAAAGTTCGGTAAGTAAAATGAAAAAAACCAAAACCTGTATCAAGATGTACTTGAATTTCCCCTCCCCATCAATGTCAACATCCGACACATCAGGCAGTGGCATCTAAACTATTATATTTATACACAGAGACAAAGTAACCATTTCGTAATCATGAGCGGGAAACGTAAACTTCAAAACTAGATAACATCACATCTTAACATCATAAAATGTCACATTTTGTCACCAAGGAAAGTCAATGGGGTCAATAACGTGAAAAGAATCAAAAAAAGCGCTCAAATTAGGCGTGTAAAGCAACTAGAGACTAAAACGTTCAAAATAAAGACAACAGATTTTTGTAAAAAGGTTAACAAGAGAAAAATTTAGAGAGCATTCAGAATTTTTTTGGATGATAGTTGAGATCAAAGAGATCAAAGAGACGGGGTACTTCAAAAATCCCATTGGGTGAACTGATCCATCGTGGATACCTCTCTTGAATCATCCATTTCTTCAATGGTTGTCAATTTGTTCGTGTCCTCAGTGATCAATTTCACACCTGGCAGCAATGAGCGCAGCGTTTGAGGCCGTTTCGTTTCCTTGAAAAAAGAGTTTGTGGTCGTCAACTGTGAAGCATTCGGTCGATCTTCAGGGCGAATCGACAAACAAGCGGCGACCAGCTTGTGGAGCCCGGCAGAGAAATGGTGTTGATGGTGATCAGCGGAGCCTTCTGGGCCAATGGTGGTCGAATCCAGCAATCGTGGCGTCGTTCCACGTGTCTTCTCGTACAACATCTGCAGCGGAGACATGTCGGTGAACGGTGGGAAACCGTTCGCCATTTCACAAATCGTGATTCCAAGCGAATAGATGTCCGAAGGCAATCCGTAGCCACTCACGTTTTGCGAAAGCACTTCCGGAGCCAGCCAGAGCAACGAATCGGAGAGGTGTTCGCTGAACTCGTTGATTGGATGAATTTTCCCCAACCCATGCTCATTCAATCGTATGCAATGCTTGAATCCCGTCAATCGCACTCCGCCCTGAGAATCCAATAGCACATGACTTGCTCGAATCGATCTGTGCAAGATGTATTGTGAATGCAAATAGTTGAGAGCTTGTGAGAGTTGCTTCGTGATTGACACAAGGGCTGACTCAGGAAATCCCACTTTATAATCCTTTTCGATGACATTTAGAGCCGATCCCATATCGGATAAGTGAGTGGCGATGAGAATGTGTCGATCGCAAACGATGGCAGCGTAGAATGGAACGATGTTGGTGTGTCGAAGCAACTTCAACCATTGCACTTCTTCAATGGCATGTTGAAAGCCGCAACGATCGGCGAGTTTCTCCAGCTGCCACATTTTGCAAGCGAAGCGATGACCACCCTTTTTGGTCGCGTAGACTTTCACCGCCCCACAAGATGCCTCATCAATGTAGGCATAAGCCTGGAAGCCAGCGTTGGCCAAGTCAAGAATTGGCATCCGCACAATCGCTTGTCTGGAAAAAGAAAATATTAATCAAATTGCCCACATGACAAAGAATAAGATCAAAGATAATTTTCAAATCTCTCTTAATCTAATGACTGTAAGCTTGTTGAAAAGCTTACCCGTTCGCTTGTAATCAAAAAAAAAATGATAAAATATAAAATAGTCACCCAAACAAATTTTTAAGCACCAATTTCAGGAGAAAAAGTTTATTTAGTTTATTTACAAAGACATCGATAACAAAACCCGAGTCACTTTAAGTAAGGAAATAGTAAATTATATAGACAATGCATTCGATTAAAAAGTACAAAAGAAAAACACAGTTACTAGAAATACATTCAATTGACTACTTTGAAGTAACTCGATCGCCGACGAGCCTTCTTAATGTTAGTGGGAGCTTCTTCTGTCATACTATAAAGTTTTTTTTTGTTGAATACTAGAAAATTAACAAACTCTGACTGCCGTGGCTGATCGCTGTCTCGTTTCTTCGCATCATCTAGCGGCACAAGTTTGTAGAGCTGCGAACGCCTACCACGAGGCTTTGCAAACGGTTTGTCAATCTGATTGCCATTTTCTTTCTGAAATTAAAATTATTTGGTTGAAATCATTATTTGGTTTCATTAACCTCTGCATCCTGTGAAACCACTAACTCCTCATCGGACGGTTTGGTCATTGCGCAAAACTCGAACTCGAGGTCTGCAACGCGAGGAGGAGTTGGAGGAACGGGTTCCTAAAGTGTTAATAGGTATATAGATAGAACATACAAAATATTTTAAAACAAAATGATAAAATTTACTTCAAGCATCAAATGATGACCAAACATGGGTGGCTTCATTGACGAATTCTCCTCGGGCTCAGATTCACTAGTGCGAGTTGGCGAAAGTAGAGGAATAGTTGCTTTCATCGAAAATCGACGTTGAGTTTTGCGCATCTTTGGGGCGTCCAGAGATGACTGCCGACGAATCACTACATCCATTTTCTTCTCCTACGTATAGCATTTTTTTGAAAAATTTAGTTAGTTTACCATTTGCTTATCATCGATCGATGGAATCGGTGCATCTTGCCTTACTTCTGCTGGCTGTGCAGTAACCATTTTTTCATCAAAAGGATCTCTAAAGTCCAAATAAAATAGGTCCGTCTTGTAGAGTTTTAATTCTTTAATTCTTACGTTTCTTGGGCAACTCGAAGAAAAACTGATGATCGACGTCTTCGATTATTTGATTTAAGTTGAACAACAGTGGATTCTGAAAATCTATCTTACCCAACGTAAACACGTTTAAAAAACCAGGAATGAGTGTAGATGCTAATGATGTGCCAATATTAGAAAGATTGTTCTCCGCAGGACTGTTCTTTGTTGAAGTTGTTCCTACATTATCCACAACTAAAAAGCTGCTTTAAGGTACGATTCAAAAAACATTTGATAAATGATGTTAAAGCTACCTGGACTTGGAGTAAAATCTTTCACATTTCGTTTCGGTATGCCCGACTTTCTTCTTTTACCAATCTTTTCTTGCGGCGTTGCCTTTAGTAGCGCCTGAAAGAGATAATTAAGTCATTAAAATTTTATAAACCGTGTATTCCAGCAAAAATGGTCCTTGAATTTGTCGCTCTTTTGGAGTGAAAGCATCCGGATCTTGATCCTAAAACAATAATCTAATTTGTATGAACGATCGATAAATACCTTGATTATGATTGGATGCTCCTTTGAGGGTTGTGGTAGCACCAAGTCTCGATAAATCTATAAATAGAGTAAAATAAAAAAAATAATGCTACCGTTTCATCATCAGGCCCCGTAATAGCGATTTTGTCTGGAAGCTAAAAATTTATTCGATGAATAGTCTTTTAATCCAAGCCCACAGCATCTTCTCGTCGCGGAATCAATCGGAGACGATAAAATTTTTCGAAGTTGACCACCTTCGCTGTAACAGTAGCTAAAATTAAATAATTTCGTATGGATAAAAACAAAGAACTCCACCTTTCTCTTGGGTTATCAACGAAAGTGCAATGTTTGTTGTTGCTGGTGCAACGCGGGAAACAGCCTTTACAGTTTTTGAACGCGTCCTAGTTGATACACCGCATGCATGATATTCACTTCGACCATCATTGGTATCTGTTTCGATCATCTAAATGCAAAAATTTGTTTAATTGAGCTTTATCATAACAAAAATGAAACATGCTCAAGGCAAATACGTTATCACAACTAAATCACATCGAGATCAATAACAAAAAACAAAGTTTCTTAAATAACAATCAGATTCCATAATGGGTTGAAATTGCAGCGATGAGATCGTCTTTCTTTTTCGCTGAACCGAAATTGATTTTATTGGCTCCAGCGTATTCTTTCAGCAAAGCCACCGTCAATGAGCCAAGTTTCCCTCCCTGTGCCAACTTCTTCAGATTCACTCCATCATTGTCGTCACTCTTGCTTTTCTTGGCAGGCTTTTCCTCATCATCATCTTTCTGACGCTTTGGTGTTGGCTTCTTTATCGTGGCTGAGGCTCCAACTTCTTCAAAAACTTGAGCTGCGCTTTGTGCTTTTTGAATTCTCGATGCAGGAATCGCACTGTTTTCAAACCATGGCTTTATCTGATCCCACTCATTCACCATAGCTTCTTTCCATTTCTCACTTGTGTTGTCCGGAGTTTCGAGGTTTGCCTCTCGCTTGAGCATTGTGTAAAATGCTTGTAAATGAGGATTTGGATAAGCGGTCGGAGTGAATTTATTCTTTCGAATCGACGTGCTCAAGTTCTTGGCAGCTTCGACAAATTTCTTGTTGACAGCTGGCCAAATCTCACCCTCTGTTGGAGCCAATTTCTCTTCAAATGCTTTCTCGATGTCTAGTTTGTCATCTGCATCGTGTAGCTCAACGACGATCAAGCCCTCGTGAAGTCCTTCTTGTGGATCTTGCTCTTCATTCGGAATAATTGCAACGTTGCGCGGTTTTTGATTGGCACGTCCCGTGTATTCGCAGATGGCAGCAATTTGTCGCTTCTTCATTCTCTCGAAAAGATGAGAATATAATGAAGTTGCACCAGTGTGAACCATCTCGTGAGGGCGAATTGAAAGCGGAACTCGCACATGCTCCCACAAATCGATCTTTGAGAGTGGACAAAACTCGATCAACCTCAAACCTTTCGGGTAACGATAGAATAGGTCTCGTTCACCCTGTGAAATCACCACCTTTACTCCACCAACATTTCTCACATTGCTAAGCTGATGACGTTGTAGGGGTACACCAGGTGGTGGCAACATTGAATTATCTTGAAGAGCACCGTCTTTTTGTTCCTCTTCCTGTCCATCATCCTCAGCTTTGTAAGTAGTCACTGATTTGATTGGTAAGCCCGTCTTGGCGTGTACGGCAAAAGGAGTCGGTTTCGTCTTTTGCCCAATCACCGAATATACAGCAACATTAAACTCGAGATTTGGTCCTAATGAAAATGGAACAATCGAATGAGCTCGAAGAGCGCCAGTTCGCTTAAAAATGAGTGTCTCAAAGTCTTTATCGTAGATATCGGCGTCCTCATCGACTGTGCGCCACATTGTCAAGTCCGAATCATCCAATTTGTTCGAATCGCCCAAAACAAAGATGCTACATTTTCCGCGCAGTGGGCGGCGAAGTGTATCCAACTCATTCGGCTTTCTTCCCTCAATATCGTGAAGATTTCTCAACATTCTTCGGTATTCATCATGATTTTTGAAATTTTCACCAAATGGGTTGACTTGATTCGTGAAATGAACCCATGAAGTGAATCGCCGTGCCGTGCCACTGCTATAGGAAATGTTCAACTTGCTGTAGCTGGCCATTTTCTGATAATTGCATGTAGTGTGTCCGCCAAAGAGCTCAGCGAAAAGATTCTCCAAATCTCCTCCATTGACAAGTCCTTCCAATTCCAGAACTCTTTCCTTGTCGAGCACACCGATCGGAAAAATGTGCTTCATATTTTCAGCTCCCATCGCAATCTCAGGATCGGTTTCAGTGAAGGTCGTGTTGACGACAAGAACACCAACCAAATGTCGAAGTGCTTCCTCGGTGACGCAAAGGCGAACACAAAATGAGTAGATTGCGTTGATGGCACGAGCAAAAGAGCAGTCCTTCCCATAGGGTTCACCGGATGGATCGTCCTCAAACATTCTCTTCGAGCCATCGACGACAAAATAGGTCGTTTTCTTGTTGCTATTCTCCTCCATTTGGTCAATCACTCCATCATCGCCCTCGTCGGCCATTTTTGCGAAGTTGCTACCTGAAATTTGTAACATTAGAGCATATCAAAAGGAAAAAAAATACAACGTTGAGAAAAAGTGAATGTGTAAGTGAAAACTTTGTAACATTTTAGATTGAGTAGATTGCGTATAAGGGTTTTTATAAGGATATAAAACAAAGCAAAGGTATTCGATTAACGAATGACTATTTTTATTTTGTAATGTCTGGAAAGCTGTATACTTTTGAAGTAACGCCCCACTTTTTGATATTGAAATGTTTCGTTTTCTTTTTTTTTCTCTCGAGCTTTTTTAAAATTTTGTGATAGAGAAAATTTAATATGAATAGTTTAAAAAAATTCATCTATCACAGAGCTTTAAAGAAAGCTAGAGAGAAAACAAAGCATTTCAATGTCAAAAAGTGTCCCCATAGGGGTTTATGGGGACACTTTTTGGGAACACTTGCAGACGGTACTTCAAAAGTATAGAAAGCTATCGGAAAAAAAGCTTTTCCAAAAAAAGTGATTCATCAAAACTTATTTTTAAAACTTTTTTCCTTTCTTCCCCCCACTTCTCGTATCTAGGCATTTCAACGCGTTTCACCCCGTAAACAAGAAAATAATCTGAAAGTTGTTTGGCTTTAATGCTTTTGAAATCGCGCCGCTCGCCTTTTCGTGGAAGGACCACTTTCCGCCGCCAAATATAAAATTAATCGGTCGAGAAGCGGGTTGTGTGCTGCTTGCTGATATTTTTACTTTATACTAACTTGCAACTTTTCTTTTTTAATTTATTGATTTTAGGAAGATGCCTGTCGACATTGAGACTACCAAGCCGGGAGATGGCAAGACCTTCCCTCAAAAAGGGCAACAAGTCACCTGCCACTACGTCCTCACCCTCGAAAATGGGAAGAAAGTAAGGGTTTTTGTTGATAAGCAAAGTTTGCGAGGGCCTCATTTCAGCAAAGGGGCACTTCGGCAACTTTTAATAACTCGCTTCAAAATCAATATTTTTTCTTTTTTATGTTCTGGCTAGCGATTAACACCAAAAACTTTGCAATACCTTAAAATTTCGAGCATTTAGTTTTTTTCCAACTTCTCGAAATTTTAAGGTATTGCAAAGTTTTTGGTGTTAATCGCTAGGCTAGATGCCAGAACATAAAAAAGAAAAAAATATTGATTTTGAAGCGAGTTATTAAAAGTTGCCGAAGTGCCCCTTTGCTGAAATTGGAAGTCGCCCCAAAGGTTCGTCGTATAAAAATGTCTTTTTACACTGGTGCTGACTTGTCGGTGGTAGCTACTAGTCATGGCTGATAAACTCCATGAATCGAGAGAGAACAGAAGCCCTAGTTGCTGAACTGAAGATCTTTGGAAGATTGCAGCTAGTTTCACGTTTCTTATTTTAGGTGGACAGCTCTCGAGACCGCGGAAAGCCATTCCAGTTCAGAATTGGAAAAGGAGAAGTGATTAAGGGCTGGGACCAAGGAGTTGCCAAGATGAGCGTCGGGTAATTATTTTCGATTATTATCAACATCTATTAAATTAGCTAAATGAGACATACTTGATAGCAATCATCTCACGCTAGTAATTTCTGCGCTAGAGTAGTTGGGGGGAGCAGTCTGGAACTTGACCCAAAATCAATATTTTTCCACGAAGACTTGCACACAGAGGTTTTTGACTATGCTGAATCTCTAGCCTCTAATTTCCATTTATGTGGGACTTAATTGGGTGAATAGCTGATAGTCTACATTGACTTTACAGCTTTTATAATGCCGATACATCCCCACATTGAAATTTATTCGGTTAGCGAAAGCTAACCTTTTAAGCTATATTTTATGCTTTTAAAGGGATACTTTAAAAGCATAAAATATACCTATCTTTTTTGGAGGTCAAATCTTAAAGAATAAGATATCTAAATTTTTATACATACATAAATAAAAGATAGCATTTCTTGATATCTATTTAGGCAACGTGCCATCCTCACGATCTCGCCCGATCTCGGATACGGAGAGAAGGGAGTTAGTGGTGCTATACCTGGAAACAGCACTCTCATCTTCGACGTCGAGCTTTTGGGCACAAACTAGTTTTTGTGATCTATGATTAATTTTATTCTTGTCATTATCGTCTCAAAATTATTTTGTTTCTAAATCTTTCCATTTTTGTGTTTCAGTACAGGAAGAATAATTTAAAAGCATTTATTTGCCAGAAAACGACTGCAAATGTTACTGCACATAATCAAAGAAGTTCAATTTGTGGTTTGAATATAATGCAACACGCTTTTTTTTATTCCAACAACAGCAAATTGAAATTTAAAAATTCTAGAACCCAATATGATTAAATAGAGGCATCAACGTCATTTTTGTAAAATCTATATTGTGTAGAAGGGGGAAAAATTGTTTGCCGTTTTAATATAGGACCGTAATGGTGGGGAGAATCGCGGCTAGGGAGGTTTGGGAGGGCACCCAACGAGAAACGCAAAACTGTAGAAAAAAAAAGAAAATTCGACGGAGATTGAGATAAAAGGTTTTGCCCGGTCAAATTGTTGTGGTTTACGGTTTTTGTGTGAAAAGGTATTTTGCCCCAACCACAACGAATTCTTTTTGGGCAAAGACGAACACGTTTATTTTCCAAAGGACCATATTTTTGAACTCGACGGGGAAATGGGAAAGCTGAGTGTTTTCGAAATTCTCAAAATTTTATCAAAGCACTCAACTTTCTCAACTAACCAAATTTTTTTTTCGAATTTTTCGACTTTAACAAGAGTTTAACAAGAGTTAAAACTAAATAGTTTTAAAAAAAGTGGAAGAAAGGGTGTACTGAGAATAAACCGGTAACAATAAATACGGTATGTGTCGTAGATGGTGAGTGGATGGGGTTATCTTTGGAAATTTTCCATTGTTCTTACTTTCCGTACTTTCCGAAATTTCCCCTCAAATCCACTCACTTTCGACTTGTACTTATGGGGAAACCGAACTAGATGAGGATATCAGAAAAAAATGAAAAAAAATACAAAATTTTAACTGTTAGCGTTGGTGGTGGTATACTTTTGCTGACACAATCTACGATTAGTACAAAATCGAAAACGATTACGGTAGAAAGCGTAGTAGAAAGGATTAGCGTAGAACTATGCTAAGAAAATTGTAAAGTATCTACCGTAAATACTGTAATAGTACCCCAGCCTCATAATGACGACCGGAGCATCGCGTAGTCTAGCTTTGAACGAGTTTTTCTCGACACTCGTTTATGCTACAATGCTCGTATAGGTATCAAAAAATAGCTGAGATTCAGGGCTATTTTTTGAGACCAAAACGAACATTGTAGCATAAACCAGTGTCGAGAAAAACTCGTTCAAAGCTAGACCACGCAACGCTACGTAATAGTAGCGGCCCCCTAAAATGATGGTCGGTTGCGTAGTCTAACTTTAAACACATCTTTCTCGCCACCTGTTTCTGCTACAATGCTCGTATAGGTATCAAAAAATAGCTGAAATTCAGGGCTATTTTTTGATACCAAAGACGCATTTTTTTGAAAGTACGAGCGCTTTGAAAAACAATGAAATACTAAAAAACTTTTGCGACTACGCGACTGTACGAGGGGAGTACTATTACAGTATTTACGATAACTAAAAAAAAGAATCGCCTTTTCTACCGTAATCCAGTAGTTTTCTATTTTCCACGAAACTAGAGCTAACAGTTGAAATTTTGCAAAAATTATGTTACAATGAAAATTGAAAAAACTTGAAGAAATGAATTAGAAAATTAGAAATGAATGAATGAAATTAAAAATAGATATACAGGCAGCGTTTTGACTAGGCACGCCCATGGCATATCTCATTTTTCTTCTTTGTTTTTTGTTTGAAATATGAAATGTGATGGGCGGCAGAAAATTCGAAAATAAAAACTACAAGTCGAGGGAAAAAAAAAAAAAAGAGAAAACGCACATTATTACAAAAGAAATTGGCCCAACATTTTTTCGAAAACAGAGAATTTCCTCTAAACAAGTAACAAAATGTGTTCAAATGGGGAAAAAGAAAAAAAAGAAAAGAGAAACGAACAAAGAAAAAAAGAAAAAACGATCACTACGAGAGAATCTAAAAGCGCAAAAATCTGAAAATCCGCATTTCAAATCGAACAGAAAGTAATGCGTTTGCTAACTGGTGGACAATTTGAGGGAATTACCGTAATCTTTCCTTCAGATTTTTCTTGTTATACTTAATTTAGACTAAATTAGACTAATTTAGACTAAATTAGACTAAATTTAACCAATTTGGACTAATTTAGACTAAATTTGACTAAATTTAACCAATTTTGAGTAAATTTAGACTAATTTAGACTAAATTAGACTAAGTTTAACCAATTTTGCACAAATTTGGACTAATTTAGACTAGATTTGACTAAATTTAACCAATTTTGCACTAATTTTGACTAATTTTGACTAAATTTGACTAAATTTGACTAAATTTGGGGGTGGGACAAATGCGACCTTTTTTTTGCGCACCTGGACATTTGCGCACCTTTTTTTTGCTGGAAAACGCCTTAGGAAAGGTCGTAGAGCTTTAAAAATGTTTTCATATAGGGGAAGCGTATGCGTAGATTCAGAATTTTGACAAATCAGACCTCGTTGACACGTCAAATTTGGGCCAAAAGGCAAAAACTGCGGAAAAGCGTTAAGTTGCGTAGTTTTTGCCTTTTAGCCCAAATTTGACGTGTCAGCGAGGTCTGATTTGTCGAAATTCGGAATCTACGCATACGATTCCCTTATATGGAAGTATTTTCGAAGCTCTACGGCCTTGCCTAAGGCCTTTTCCAGCAAAAAAAAAGGTCGCATTTGTCCCACCCCCCTAAATTTGACTAATTTAGACTAAATTTGACTAAATTTGACTAAGTTTAACCAATTTTGCGCAAATTTGGACTAATTTAGACTAAATTTGACTAAATTTGACTAAATTTGACTAAATTTAACCAATTTTGAGTAAATTTAGACTAATTTAGACTAAATTTGACTAAGTTTAACCAATTTTGCGCAAATTTGACTAAATTTGACTAAATTTAACCAATTTTGGGCAAATATTGACTAAATTTGACTATGTTTAACCAATTTTAACTAAATTTAACTAAATTTGACGAAAATTAAGAGTGAATCGGAGAAAATCTGAAAATTACCGTAGTTTCAAAATTATCCACTCTTTAGAAACACTAAACAAAGGCAATTCTTTTTGCGAACTTTCAGTTTTTTTTTTGTTTTAAGAGTACAGCTGAACACATACACAAAGACTAACGGTCTACCGCTTTAGCACACTAAGAAACTAGTCGAGAATCGAGATTGGGACGAATTTTGACCCCAATGGGGAAACTACCACGGGGATACCACACCAGAAAACAAAAAAGAAATTGGGGATTTGGTGGTGGAGTTGACGGAATATCTGAAGCTTAAAGGTAAGCTCTAAGCCTGCTGGACTTATTGTAGCTGTTAGCCTGGACTCTAAGCCTGCTGAACTTATTGTAGCTGTTAACCTGGACGCTAAGCCTTCTGGACTTATTGTAGCTGTTAGCCTGGACTCTAAGCCTGTTGTAGGCCAGACCTTAAGCTTGCTACAGTATACCGGATCCTGAGCCTCGTTACAGTATGCCAGACCTTGAGCCTCGCTGGAGTAAGCTGGACCTTCAGCCTCGCTACAGCAAGCCGGAGCCTGAGCCTCACTACAGTAAGCTCGATCTTCAGCCTCGCTACAGTACCCCCGAACCTTCCTGAGCCTCACTACAATATACCAGACTCACTACAGTATCCCTGAGCCTCACTACAGTATACCAGACTCACTACAATATCCCTGAGCCTCACTACAGTATACCAGACTCACTACAATATCCCTGAGCCTTACTACAGTATACCAGACTCACTACAGTATCCCTGAGCCTTACTACAGTGTGCCGGACAAGCCTTGGCTAATGATGAATATCCGAAAGCTTCTGAAAGATATTCAATACGGTATACGAAAGTAATGGGGCAGATTGTAGCGAAGATCAGGATTCTACAGTAGTTTTTATTCGATATCTAGCCATCCTAAGAGATTCAAGACAAGCTTTAGTTGAAGCTCTTTAGTTGAAGCTTTAGCTCTTTGATATCCACTTTTCCACCAACCAAATCCCCTCACCCAAAAACGCTAATCGTAAGTATATCTGACTATGAGGTGATACGGAGTACGCCGAATAGGGGAAAACCTGGGAAATTTTTGTTTATTTTTTTTTTTCAAATCCATTTTAACCACACAACACGCACCGAATAATTGAATTTTTTTTTTTTGGGGAAATAATTGGATACGAAAATTTGCATACATCTCAAAATATATCCAAAATTTCCCCCAGCAAAAAGGAACGAGAGAAAGAGGACCCAACGCCGGCCAAACGACCCAAACGATTGGCGCCGGCGAACGAAAATACGGTAATTCGATATAAAACTAAGTTCTTTGGGGGGAAAAATTTTGGGCTTTAGTTGTTTTTGTTGTTGTTGTTGTTGTTGTTGTTGTTGCTTCTATCGCATTGCGCTTCGACGATCAGACGCGTAGTAGTTGGTGAGTGCACGGGTGAAGTAAAGAAGAGCCGCTTGGAGACGCGACTCCATGATCATCAACATCACGTGCACCTAGAAAATGAAAATTTTTCATCAAGAGGAAGATTGGCTCAGGTATTTGGATTACGGTCGTCTGTCTGTCTTTTTGTCTGTCTTTTTCTCTGTGTCTCTCTGTTTCTCTGTGTCTCTCTGTTTCTCCGTCTCTCTTTTTCTCCGTCTCTCTGTACAGCCATTTTCTCGGTCGTTTTTTGACCAATAAAGACCAACTTCTTCCTTAGAATATATTGTAGTTATGGCATTTTAATGAAATTAATCAAAAAGTCGAAATTGAGTGCCACTACAGGGGTCGAACCCGGGCCTTGTGGGCTGTAGACAAGCGCGCTCTCGACTGCACCACAGCGACAGGGGAAACGGCCGTCAAAAACGCTCCCAAAACATCCAGAAAAATCCGCCGTTAGGATTTTCGGCTGATACCTATACTTTCAAAGTGTCCCTGTTGCCCATTCAGCTGAAT